GCGTAGGAGTATGTGGTAACAATGCGGAATGTCGAACTGTTAGTCACACTCCCAATTGCGTTTGTGTTACGGGATATGTCGGGAATCCCTTCGTTAGCTGCGAACTGCCACCATGTAAGTTTTATCTTAGCATCATAGTTTTGCGCCGAAATTATAACTAATTCCCCCAAGCTTATTTACTAATCTTAAAATTTGATTCGCGTTCAGAATTTTTTATCTGTTAGGGTTCAGTCGTACTAAAATTCTAACATTATCTTTCGTATGGTATAAGGGAGAGGAGATAATTGTTTAATTAGACGTAACATTTCCCACGCATACTGACTTATACCATTTACAGAAAGTTTTGTTTTATGCGACTTTTCCTAATAAATTTTTAAACATTAGTTTAAAATATATTTTACAGGTTGTTACTTAGGAACATTTTTATTTGAAAATAGGGAAAGTCGATGAGACCATCAGGTTACTTGAGATCAGTGACTTCATCGCAAAAGTTTAATGGATATGGGATAATGAAAGTTAGTTCAAATGAAAGGGTTTTGTTCCAAATTCAATAGTGTATCGCAGTGAGGGTATCCCCTATCCATTTAACTTTTTTCAAAACGAAGACGTCACAGCACCAGTCATGACGTCATTGATTTCAAGTATATATCAAACGGTAGTACTGAAGGACCCTCTAAAATTTTCTAATAAAAAATAAAAAATAAATAGTTTCTGAGGAATGCCTGTATTCAAATCTTGGATACCTATTATTGAATTAAATTTGGTTTGGTTATATCCGTTATGCAGGTATGACATTTTCAGCACGGGATATAATATACCTTACAATTGAATAAAGTATAATAAGAACATGCATGTACATATCAAGCAGAGGCAGATGTCAGTTGTCGCGCATAAATCTGTATCTGATGTGTGAAGTGGAACAAACAGAAGTCGAAATGGTATTAAAGCTCGCTGACAGGGCATCTCTCTCTGTTATGTGCATTAAACTTTGTTCAACTCATTGTGAGGTATACTTTCCGTGTTGAAAATTTCAAATCTATGTGACCACAATCAATTATAAAGTTGCAATACAATAGACAGATAAGGAAAAAAAAAGTCCTTTGTGTCTTAAAATGTTATCCTTTATAATATAATATAATATCTCCATTATTAAGGTAATCACCATACTTTTACCGAAGTGGCTCATCATAAAGGAGAAGTTGTGGTTTGCCTGAAGATGAATTGGGTAAACTTCGTAAAATTAAGCAGGATTATACTGTAAAATATAAAGGACATCATTTTTCCTATTATTTGTCAGTTCTATATAATATACACCCATTGTTAATTTAGTATAGGTAGGTACTTAATATAACTTCTTTCTAAATTTTTGCAGAAAACATTAAAGTTCTACGTTTCTTAAAATAAAACATTTTAGAAAATAATAACTACATAGCTTCTATATGTTTTTAACAAAAAATAAGTAACTAAAATTATTGTATTAAAAAAACTCGTATACTTATAGTTATTACCAAAATTTAGAAAGATACTATATATTTCAGAAATTTACAAACTTTTAATACAGCGACACGTTAAACAAAAGAATATTTCAGAATTATGCCTGCATAAAAAGATATACAGTGTGTTTCTAAATTAATGCTAAACAATTCTGACGGAATGTTTTGTCGAAAATTGTGAGGGATCGTTCTTATAACAAAATTTTCTCAAGAAATATTACTTCCAAAAGGATGTAGTAAAATGTGAGTTTTTAATTTTTTTCTCAAATCCAAGTAAATGTATAAAGTTTGGAGATTACAGATACTCCTAAAGTGGTAATTATTTCAGAATTACCATTATGTTATAAGGGTGTTAAATTAACAACCCTTCTTGGCGGATTGAATTTTATAAATTAAATATATCACTCTTAATTTATTAATTAACTTTTTTCTTACTTTTTTCCATAGAACAAAAAAATAAAATATAATAGCATCTATGGTACATACCTTTTGTTTTGAATTATAATTTAAATTCGAATAATAGACTGTTGTCTTATTAAAAATTTTATATTTATTATTCATCAAATTTTAGTAGGCCGTTGTCAAGTTGTATTTTCATTTTACCAACGTAAAAAATTAAAAACTCCATTTTACTTATGTTTTTTCGAGCGTGATATCTTTTAAAGGGTTGGGTTGAAAAAATTTTGTTATAGAATTGTCCCTCATAATTTTCATCGAGGTATCTCCCCCTGGATTTTTCTCATGAATTTAGAAACACGCTGTATAAGAAATTACTGCTTTTTTCCCTAACACCTGGTATTTGGTATGAGGAATTTTGCGACGTCTCATGTGGTTCTCATTTTATTAGAAAAACCAATACCATATAAATCCTCCCTCAATTTGCGCTGTTATATTATCCAATTTCTAATTCACAAAGCAACTTCAAATGTACCGACCTATAAATCTTTATACAATTGAAAACTTCATTATAATGAAAGTCAAATAAGCAGTGGCGTAGCGCTACTACCGCAAATAACCTCATTGACGGGGGCGCTACCCCCAAGGGGCACTTGCTTTAATGCAGTGAGCCAAATTGCAAAATTTTAAAAATGTAAACGTTCATACAAACACCTCCTTTTTCCTATCTACAATCTTCTATCAGTAGATAATCTTGAAGACAATGGAAATAAGTATTCAAATTTTAAATAAATCAATCTAGTACTGTAAGATCTTGGAAAATAAATCCAGAATTTGAAGATAAAATGCAACCAATACCAAAGAAACTCTTTGATGAGTGTAATACAAATTACGTATTTTCTAGTTAAGAAAATTGCTCTAAGACAAATATATATTACAAAATATTTGATATTGTAATTAATCAAATCGGTAACCCTTGTAAATAAATTTAGATTCCTGTGCCCCAAGTTATGATAACTGTTCGAAAATGAATTATATAGGTATTTAAATCGGCAGAAATCTCACAGCAAACCTTTTCAATAATCTTTCTATGGCTTTCCTTTTGATGTAGTCGCTTTGTGTTTACAATTAAAAGAAAAAAATTGCTTCACTACAAAATATAATAGACTGCTCAGTTTTAATTGTTGAAAATAGTAATTTAGCTTCAAATTTTACAGAGGTAACTAATTATAGCTTAATATTATTATTTTCCTGTAAGTATTGTATCAGCAGAAAAATCTTTTTTTAAATTGAAAATAATAAAAAAAAACTAGAATGAAGATATATAATGCTTGGAATTCTATATTATACTCTTCAGAGTTTAATAAACCCCCCCCCCCTTAACCCCCATTTTAAATCAGATTTTTTTCAGAATCAATAGGCTTCATCCTCTTATGAAGTTTGATTTTTCCTAAGATTTCAATTTGATATTGTTTTTTGTCTCTGAGTTAGAATGGTTTTCAGTATTTCAATCTCCCTAATCCTCCATGTTTATTCAGAATTTTCTCAGACTTAATAGGCTTCATTCACTCATATAGCTTGATTTTTCCTAAAAATTTCATGATGATATAGCTTTTGGTTTTTGATTCGTATTTTTTTTATTTTAACCCCCTTGACCCCCCCATTTTATTCAGATTTTTTTTAAAATCATTAAGCTTTGTCCCCTCATAGAACTTGATTTTTACTAAAAATTTTAATATGTTATTATTTTATTTTGTTGAGTTTTAAATATTTTAACCCCCCTTTATCCCCCATTTTATTCAGAATCAATAGGCTTCATTCCCTTATGGAGCTTGAGTTTTACTAAATATTTCATGTTGATATCGCTTTTCATTTTTAATTTTTGATTTTTTTTTATTTTAACACTACTTGAACTCCCCATTTTTATTCAGATTTTTTCAAAATCAATGGCTTCGTCCCCTTATAAGGCTTGGTTTATCCTGAAACGGAACCAAACGCATAATACTCTTCACAGCCTACAGTGTGAAGACTACAATAATTACGTATTATGGTTCCTGCCAAACAAAGTTAAGAAGGTTCTTTCGCCACCAATGTTAAATAAAAAATATTAGATTATGACTAAAAATTAATTTTTTTTCTAATAGTAGAAGTCCTTATTTATCTAATAGTGAACTTTTAACTATACCTTACCGTGCAAATTTTTGAGAATTTTTTTTTTAAATGTGTGTGTTTGTACAGTTTCTTACGAGAAAGTAAGACTTCAACAACAATTTTCGAATTATAATTAATTTTACTATTATTTATTGATTAGATGGAGTGGAAAAAAACTAAAAATAAGGTTTTTGAAATATTTAGGTTTTGTTTTTTTACAATAAAATATATAGGTTACCGTGGAATTTATTGAGAAATTAATATTAAAAAATCACAAAAAATGTTTAACTAGGTTACTTCAAATTTTTTTTAATATTAATTTCTCAATAAATTCCAAGGTAACCTATATATTTTATTGTAAAAAACAAAACCTAAATATTTCAAAAATCCTATCTTTTGTTTTTTCTACTCCATCTAATCAATAAATAATAATATAATTCGAGAATTGTTGTTGAGGTCTTATTTTCTCGTAAGACACTTTACAAATACATTTTTAAAAAAAAATTCTCAAAAATTTGCACGGTAAGGTATAGTTAAAAGTTCAACATTAGATAAATAAGGACTTCAACTATTAGAAAAAAAATAAATTTTAGTCATAATCTAATATTTTTTATTTAACATTGGTGGCGAAAGGGGTGGCGAAAGGACCTCCTTAAGTCATTTTTTTTTTTAAGAGAAAACATATATTTGATAGTTAGTCCATATAGTCAATATTTGCGAATGGACACAATTTGTCGCTACGCCACTGCTAATAAGGTTGTGCGATATTTAACGAACTGATAATTACTGATATTTAATAGTTATTTAATCCGATTACAACAAGAAGAACACCCCTGTCACAACCATTACTTCGAATTTCGAATACATATTAGCTATAACTATCAATAAATAAAAAATAAGTAAGTTGTTAGATGTAAAAAAATATTTCTTGTACTCGTATTCCCATAATATTAACACTCTACTAAACCCTTAGTAGGTGACGATAGCCAATTAATTACTTTGCCAAATGATGACGTAGCCATGTTCTTCTTATTGTAATCGGACCCTGTCAATATTTTCGAAACCTAACCCCTACGGATTTCGGTTTCCAAACTGTATCCTCGACCCGTAAATTAATTACACTTACGACCCAAGGTGCATACAACGTTTTTTCGTACTACTAGCAATATTACAACTTTTAGACAAGTTCATTTAAATTTAAAAATATATATTCAAGATGTCATATATTTATTAGTTGACTTCTAGTTGCTGTTTAGTTTTAATATTCATTGTTTTATATAATTTTAATTTGTCTTTTAATTTAACTATTATTCTCCGTTACGCCACTGCTTCCCTTTGCTCAATAGAGAAGTGAAGTTAAAAATAATAAAAGCATTCATTCTGATTTGTTACTCTACTACATCAACGTTTGTTGTAAATTTTAATGTAAAATATAAAAAATACAGTCCACTTATTAACAAAGAGGTTTCATTTAAACCTAAACGGTTGCCATATGTTTATAAAGGACACTTTCTAGTTGCTGTGATTACTGCCAACTAGTTTGATGTTATTATGACAAAAATGCTATATTAAATAGATTCATATTTTTGTCTGCTTATAAATTATAACCAGTTTTCTGAACATAAACTCACAAAAATGTCAAAAGTCAAACGAGAAACGAGAATAATGTCTAAAACTGTTTCCCATCTTCTTTATCCATCGAAGAACTCTGATTATATTGGTTAGCTTTTCTAAATACATCATCCCCTCTTCTTCAAAAGTTACAACTCAAAAAGCACCAGTTTTAGTTTAATATCGACAAACCTAATAAAAACCTAATACTTTAGTTGTAAAACTACCAAAAAAATACAAATATGTCAGCTGCATTTCACAGAAATTATTTTAGATATTTTAAAATATAGGTACGTAAAATAGATGTTATGGATAATCTTATTAATTTTAATTTGTGAACAGCGAAACTTTTTTGTCAACAATGTTCATCAAAAATAAAAAAAAAGGTGTATTGAGAGTAATTCTACTTTAAAAACTTTTCAATATACTTTTTCTTATTTTTGATCAAAATAATGTTGACAAGAAAGTTTCGCTGTTCGCAAACTTGTTAATTAATATTTTTGACATTTATTATTGATGTCATAAATCCAAATTTGTTGAATAGTGACAATCAGAAAAGGCGATACAACTCAAAAAAGGCCGAAATTACTTAAAAAAAATTAAATCATAATTTACAAAGAAAAAAATATTAAAATCATGACTATTCAGTCCGTGCGTGACAGCAGCGCCAATTCATTTTTGTACTAATGGACTATTTTTGCCTATTCGCTTAGTGCGAAGTCGTAGGAGAAGCAAAAGCGATACTAACGTTAGCTGCGGCTAATTCGTGCATTTTAGGGCGATATTTTGTAATTTTGGCATATCAAACACACGTATACATTTCACTTTTTTTTCTAAAAAGTAGGTAAAAACAATATAATAAGCAACCGGAGGTGCTGTTTTGAAAATTGTAAAAATACTATCAAAAAATACAGTGCAAATTATAAAAATTTTCAGTAGCAAAGTGGAAATTAAATCAAAGAAATAAATGGATATGTGTATAATAAGAAGAAAAATTACCTTTATTTTTGTAATAATAACAGTAATACTGGAAATAGTAGACATCATAAATTTGAAAGGTTTTAAATAAACAATAAATATAATTTTGCGATGTTCTTCAACATCCCTTTAATCTTAAATATTCAGCAAAAGCTAGATTTCCACCTTAGATTATTGTGGCTGGAATGGAATTTTCTGACTTACTGATAGGAAACCAGTTTTAATCATTCATTCTATATTTTCTTTCGAACAAAAATGAAAATATAAATAACAATCCTTTTGTTTATACATTTCACGCTATTATTTAAAGGTATTTTTTATTCTGACAGAATAGGTTAATTCTTCAAAGACAACTTATTAGACTTAGGCAACTTCTCATACATTTTCCCGTAAATACTGTTGCCTCCCTTTATTTTATTATTGATTTTTATTGAATATACCTAATTTTTTTTAAGTTTAAGTGATAAAAATATATAATAATAATAATAAATTAATGTACTTGTTTTACAAATCCATTTACTTTTATTAAAACTAACATATATACTTTTTAATTACGAATGACGTTGACGTTTTTATCTTTGAAGATTTACATGTAGGTAAAAATGCTTTGTAAATTAGTGTTCTAATCTAATAAAATGAAAATTTCATGAGACCATCTAAATTCCTAGACAAAGCTTCCCAACCGACCCTACCTTGTTTTTGAAACTTTAAACCCTTAACGCTTTTAAATTAAAATTACTGCAAATAGGAAAAGGTATAAGGAATAAGGTTTCCAGAACGTACAAACATATACCTCAACTTACCCCTAAAAAAATTATCTTTCAGCCCCTGTGATCCACGAAACTATAAGCCCCTGTACTCCATCCCCTTGTGGAGCTAACGCCATTTGCAAAGAACGTAATGGCGCCGGATCTTGCCTATGCTTGCCTGATTATATTGGTAACCCTTACGAAGGATGTAGGCCCGAATGCGTTATAAACTCTGATTGTCCTTCGAATAAGGCCTGTATGAGAAATAAATGTCAAGATCCTTGTCCTGGAACGTGCGGTCAAAACGCCATCTGCCAAGTCGTCAATCATCTGCCATCTTGTACCTGCATTCCTGGATATAATGGCGATCCATTTAGATATTGTAGCGTCATTGTGGAGAGTAAGAAAATTTCTTTTATAGTCGATTTATTGATTTATCTAATAATATTGACTAAATATTCAATATTTTAGAAATATACGTAGGTATAAATACTTATATTCTGATTAAATATATTCAGAATATTTTATGAGGTGTTCCAAGTTTGTTGTCTCTAATTAATTTTTCTAAGAAAATTATGAACAATTTATCAATTAATTTAATTTTTATTTTTGTTGACTCCATTGACAATTGAAAAAAAAATAGTATTCCATAAATTTGACAAAAAAAAATTACAAACATTAAAATTGCACTGTAATGATTTCAACACGCTTTTGATTTAGAAGTAAATACAATTTTATTGTTATAAATATTTAAAAATGCTCCCATTTAAAATGCATTTTTTTATATATAAAAATAGCACCTACTTAAAATACCCTACATAATTTTAAAAAATAATTAAAAAAATTTAATTTTCAAATTAATTTTTAGTTTTTACAAAAGTTTATACGTACGATGTATCCGAAATTCGAGTATATGTATCCTTCTTAATATAAGAGCTAGATCGGTTAAATAGGAAGTGTTTAAAGAATTTGATGCTAAACTCGGATCCGTTATCAAAATTATTAAAAAATATATTTTTAAGTTATTAAAAAAAAACTAAAAATTGCTAATTTTGTTTTTTTTTTACTCAACCATTAATTTGGCCGAAGTATCTATTGACAATTTGTAGGACATGCTGTACATTGCGTACTTCTATAAATTTTTGACTGGCACTCTGGCACAATTTTGATAATAAATGCTAATTTTAACTCTGGAGATATTTTATATTATTATATTAACGCAGTCAGGAAACGAATTTATGCAGATACTACAACCAAAGTGTAGATGAGGGAGCACACCGCGAAAACAACAAAATATGCATCGAGAAAGAAGACTTAAACAACATGATGTGTCACTGGCAAAAACTAGCCTCAGTTCCTAAAAATAATGTAAATATTCCATTATTTACCAGCATTAGTACATACCCAAATTCATGGATCAAAACTTATAAATTCATGAGAGTATTGAATAACTGGAACACTAAACAAGATAATATATTCAATCTTAGGTTTAGTTTGGATGGAATTGCACTAAAATGGTATGAACAGATGTTTCAAAACAGCGTCGATGAAAATATGAAATGGTAAGATTGGAAAATCAGGTTTGTAGAGGCCTTTGATTAAGACACAGTATCCAAATGTGGAAAGGCAATCAATTTCAAATTCTAAAAAGGTTGTCTCATGTAGTATTTCTATGAGAAATTGAGACTGCTGAACTGGGCTGACAATGCATTATTTGAAAAATCCATTACAGCTCATATTAAGTCTACCATTTTATATTCAACGCAAATTTGTAACAATACTCCTAAAAATAAGAGAAACTCTTACAAGCTTTAAAATTTTTTAATATTAGAACAAACGAGAAACAAGATTTTGGAACCAGATATAAAAATGAAATTCCAAAGCAAGGGAGAAGAGAAGAATATACAAGAGGAGATGAAGAAAAAAGAATATCAGATAGAATTGGAAACAAAGTTTTGAAATACAATAATTGCAACAGAAATTGAAATGAAGATATTAATAATTTGGAGCTTACTCGTGCTTTTCAAATTTTCCAAGCTGTTTAGAGAGAAACGAAAATATAATACCAATTTTACTTAATGATGGTATAATTATACAAGCTTCAATAAATACAGGCTCATATTGGACATAATAAGTAATAATATCATTAAGAAATATAAGATTAAGAGTTTTTAACATCACTTAATAATAAAAAACTTGACTGCAAAACTAGAGTTCATTATAGAGCAAATGTAAAAATTAAATTCAATTAGAATTTTATTAAAATAAAGACTGCTATTGTAGAAAATTTGGGTTTTGATTTGATAATCTACAAAAGAACTAAAAATTTTCGATTATTCACTAAAAACTAATTTTAATTTTACTGATGGTAACATTCGTCGAATATTTCCAAACATATTAAATTATGATAACTTAAAATCTTCAACATTTGAAATAAGATTTGAATTACAAGAAAACTGTAAAATAATAAAAACAGAACCTTACAAATTTTCTTCATATAAGCAAACTTGGATTAGAGAAAAAACTAAGGAACTTTAACAAGGTCAACATCCGCATATGCTTCGCCGTGTGTACTGAAAACTAATTCGGATGGACCTTCAACATTTAAATTAAGGTTTGATTTAAAAGAATACGTTAAAGAATTAAAGATAAATCCTTACAAATTTTCTTCATATAAGCAAACTTGCATTAGAGAAAAACTAAAGAAAGGAACTATAACACAAGGTCGCCGTGTGTACTAAAATCAAAATCGGATGGACTTCAACATTTGAAACAAGATTTAATTTAAAAGAAAACTGTAAAATATTAAAGAAAAAACCTTAAAAATTTTCTTCATATAAGCAAACTTGGATTTGAGAAAAAACTAAAGAAATGTTAAAGAAAGGAATTATAACAAGGTCAACATCCACACATGCTTCTCCGTGTGTACTGAAAACCAAATCAAAGGATCATTTAGATTATCGATTATAGAAAAATAAACGAAGAGAAAGAGTTAGATATTTTCCCTTTTTTTCAAATCTTGATTAAAAGGATGGATTCTGAAATATTAGTATTACAAGAGAAACACGAAAATTTACTGCATTTGTGACTGAATATAAACATTACGAATTTACTAAGTTACTATTTGGATGGAAAAATTTTAAAGAATAATATAGATAGTTCTAGGAGAATTATTGGAAGACAACATAACTATATACATTGACGATATAATCTGCGGGAATGAGGTATGTCAAAAGCTAACTTTAAGAGTTCTAAAGAAATTTGGCAAAAATAATCTGAAAATCAATTTTATTCTTTGGTCGAAAAATTGACAGAGATATAAAAATAATGAAAGATGAAACAGTAGAAAAAGTAAGAAATATGAAACGGTCTGTAGACATAAAACACTGCAATGTTTTAATGGTTTAACAAGGTACAAAGGTGACAGAGTGGGTACTATGAACTAACATGGGGTAAAACACAATAAGCCAATAGGCTTCAGTGTTATTCGGAAACACATAGTCAGACGAGCCCAGTAGAAAAAAAAACAAATCATGTTCGTTCATTCATAAAAAAATTATAGTGAATTTACCAAACCGTGGAAAGAATTGAAATGCAAAAATAAAGAATTCATTTGGACCGACGACTGTGAAAAGGTGTTCAGAACACTAATACATGTAATAACTTCAAAACCTATTTTGAAACTGCCAGATCCAAGGCTCAAATATGAACTGTCAACTAATTCTTCTTATTATGGCTGTGAAGCGATTATCTAACAACTAGATGCAGATGTAGATACAAAGCAACCGCTGCTAGTAATAAGCTATTATTCTTATTCAAAAGCTGAACAGAATTATTCTGTCTCCGAAAACGAATGCCTAGCCGTTGTAAAGGAGTAAAGCATTTTAGGACATATCTTGATAGGAAAAATTTTTTAGTGCTTACAGATTATGGAAGGTCAACACAATTGTTAAGTACAGGAAATTTTAGAGATTGTCTTGCTAGGTGGCAGCTATTTTTCAGATGTTTTGACATGGATATGAATCATACAAGAAGACGGAAATCCAAGATGTGGACACAATCAGTAGATTGTGTATAGACTTTCCAGGAAATACCTCAAATTCTTTCTGGTGCAATTTGAACATTCACAATCTAACTAGAATGGAGAATGGAAAATATCTAGTGAAGACAAAAGATATTGTTACACAGCACACTGCAGTAGCCTGCGGCTGTTATAGGAAACGTACGAATAAAAGAAGAATTATGTCACCCACCACCCTACAGCGTGCTGCCGTCGTCATAAGTAAAGGTACGAGTAAAAGAAGAAGGAGAATATCCGAGAAATGTCATTCCACGTTAAGAAAAATCTGGACAGTTCGAGAAGGTTCGAGAAGGGGGCAGTTTTATGATAGACATTATACGTTAATGTTATCAGTTGAGTTATTGTAAAAGTTAAGTTGAAATAAATTAAGATACCAAAAACCAGCGTAACAATATGATAAAAGATATTCTTCAACTTTATCATAATGATCCACATTCACGGGGACATGATGGATACTACGAATGTAATTACAAAATTAAACAGCGCTCTTATTGGAAATCTATTAGTAAGCACATACAAGAATACATTAAAACCTGCTGTGTGTGTCAACAGGCCAAATTTAAATATCTGCCAAAACCAAATTGTGTCCATTTAGCCTCAAGCTCTCAAAATTATTTCGAGACAATACATATCGATTTGGCAGAAATGTGTAAAAAGGCAGAATGCAACAGAACCACAAAATCTGTCATTGTGGTAATTGATGAGTTAACTAGATATGTTAATGCAAAAACAATAAAAGAATCCAGTATTGGTGTGAAAACATGTCTTAGTAAGAATCCTTTTATTGATCGAACAAAAAATATAATAAGCGATTATGGAAGTGCTTTTACTTCAAAAGTTGTCACAGAATGGGCTACAGAACACAGCATTAAATTGATAACCACAACGCCATATCATCCAACAGGAAATTGCATAGCAGAACGCTTTATACGAGATTAAACAAAATTTCCCAAAATACATATCAAAGTATGAAGCATTCGATAAAATTAACAAAATAATAATTGAAAAACACCCCAAAGAAATCAACTATGCTAAACAAGTGAAAATTATAGAAAAACAGCTAGACTAAAGGTGGAATAGTTATGAGCAAATTTTTATTGATGGGTCACTAAAAGAAGACAAAGTGGGCTGTGATTTCTACTATAAAATTACTATTATTAATAAGATATTTAAATTAGAGGAATATACCTTTATCTTCTTTGCAGAACTAACCACCATTAAAGAGGTCGTAAGATTTTGTTTAACTGTAAAAAAAAACAAGTTTGTAATCCAATATATGTCAAGTAATTCAATAAATATCTGCTAGTCGACATCCTCATATATTATGCCAACAAATGTAATTTGTGAACAATGATTTATCTCTAATTTGTAAAAAAAAAATAAATGAAAAAGTCAACTAACTTGCAACCATGGGGGCAACATAGAAAACTTGAAAATTCCAGTCTCAGGTCTTATTCATCCAAGTGATAACCACAATCTAAAAACACCCTACTGGCAGGTATAGTTCAAGAACTACCATTAAAAGATTTTTTTACGAATATTATGCAGATTGAGAATACCCAAAATATCATCACAGGTTTGAACTAACGGTGAGCAAGGAAACCTGGAACATTTAATTCTACAATATCCGAACAACAACCAAGAAATTATTATTCTATACTTTAATATTAAGAAATATAAAATTTTTGTAGTAACTACCGAGCAATTTTAGATGTTATCTAGCATTATATCATGCATTATCGAGGCTAATTTTAAACTATAAATAATAGAATACCAAAAGTATGTACAATTATTATTTAACTTTTAATCATTTTGAAAACGATTTCGATATCGGCATCATTTTTTTTTTAATTCCCCATTTAACAGACCTATCTCTTATATTAAGCGAGATACCAATAATATATAAACACGAATTTCTGACACAATGTATATTTATTATTTTAAAATTTTCACCGAATAATTTTTCCAAACTCAGTACTAAAAGAAGAAATTAAAAATCCATGCCAACCATCCCCATGTGGTCCTAACAGTCAATGTAAAGAAGTTAACAAACAAGCAGTGTGTTCTTGCTTGCCCTCGTATATAGGAAGCCCACCCAGTTGCCGTCCAGAATGTACCATATCATCCGAATGCCCATTGACCAAAGCTTGCATCAACCAAAAATGCGGTGATCCATGTCCTGGATCTTGCGGTCTAAATACAAAGTGTGAAGTGAGAAATCATAGTCCTATTTGTATTTGTACTCTTGGATATACTGGAGATCCGTTTACCAGATGTTATCCCACACCTCGTAAGTGTTTTGTAATGTGCAGCACTAAATAATGGAAAGGGGTTTTTGTTTTAAATAAATTTTTGAGTTGATTATATAGATTCACTGGTTGCTGTGTTTTATAAGAATATTTTAGTTATTTGTGGGTTGTAATAATTATTTTTGGCCAAATTTGCAATTACTGAGATGACGATAAATGTAAAATGTACTTAAAACAAATCTATTTTCTAAAGTGCAACTAATTAAATTACTTTGATATAATATCAAATATAACTTAACCGCGAAATATTTCTAGCCCCGCCTCCAGCACCAATAATAACCGAGCCTATCGAACCATGCTACCCAAGTCCTTGCGGACCAAATTCAGAATGCAGATCTGTATCCCAACAAGCTGTATGCATATGCTTACCAAATTACTTCGGCCAACCACCAAACTGCAGACCAGAATGTACTGTAAATTCTGATTGTTCCTCAAACTTGGCATGTATCAACCAAAAATGCGTCGACCCGTGTCCTGGAAGCTGTGGTCTAGGGGCCATTTGTACGGTCCGAACACATACGCCTATTTGTGAATGTCCAGAAAAGTACACTGGTGATGCTTTCACTGAATGTGTACCCCAGAAAATAATGCCTGTAGAGGTAGACAAATGTAATCCTTCTCCATGTGGTAGAAATGCTCTTTGTAATGATGGTGTATGTACATGCCTCCCTGAATACCATGGAGATCCGTACCATTACGATGGATGTAGACCAGAATGTATTTTGAACTCTGATTGTCCTAGAGATAAGACTTGCATCAGGAATAAATGTAAGGATCCATGTCCTGGAACGTGCGGACAAAATGCTGAATGCGCTGTTATAAACCATATACCAACTTGTTCTTGTATACAGGGATATACTGGAAATGCCTTTGTGTTGTGTAATAGAATTCCAGGTAAATATTCATCGACATTATTTTTTGTATATTATATAATGCAATAAAAATGTTTACTTAAAATAGTTCGAAACAAATTAACTATTGCTTCTCGATATCAATATCCTTTTGTCATAATGAATGGTAGGAAATTTTTATTATATTTCAAATCAGTTAGAAATTAATTACTAAAGAGAGTAACTAATACTTTAGATAAATTTAAAAACGTAAAAATCATTGTTCTCCAGAAATTTTATATTGTCCAATATTTAGTCTAAAACTAAAAATGTCCAGGTTTACAAAAGTATGATCTAGACTCTAAATATAAAGATATTAATCTCTAAATGATTTCTTTCCATTTAAACTTTCAATTATATTCTTTTTAATAAATTCAGTCTGATAAAATCTTCAAAACATATTTCGTTATTGTTTATTTGTATTTCCTTGAATATAACTTCACAGAACAATAAAACATTGAATTAAATTATGTACAATAAAAATGATACCTATATACTAAGTTAAATGCTTTCAATTATTAAATTTTAGATGAAATTCCTAAAAATCCGTGCAACCCAACACCATGCGGACCAAACAGCCAATGTAGAGAAATAAATAGACAAGCAGTATGTTCTTGTGTGCCAGGCTTCCTAGGTACTCCGCCAGCATGTAGACCTGAATGTGTTACTAGTACCGAATGTAGTTTGACACAAGCTTGTGTCAATCAAAAGTGTATTGACCCTTGTCCAGGAACTTGTGGTATAAACGCTTTATGCCAAGTTGTTAATCATAACCCTATTTGTAGATGTGAAAATCGGTTCTCCGGCGATCCGTTTACTAGATGCTTGCCTATTCGTAAGGAAATTTTAAATTGTATTTTTTATAAACTCTAGAATTCTAGAACAATTTTTGTCTGATAAATACAAAGCCTTGGCGCAATTTCTTCACATTTTCAATTCTATTTTGGTAGATAAAGTTACAGTTGAAAACAAAATTCGTTATAATATAGTAGTTTTCTTCAATTCTAGGGTTAATGCCACTTAAAAATTATATTTTCTACTGGTTATTTAAAATATATTACTAAAATCTTGTTGCATATTTTAGAAGAAACGGTGGTACCAACAAACCCATGCCAGCCAACACCATGCGGTCCTAATTCGCAATGCAAACCTGTTGGAGATTCACCATCTTGCTCTTGTTTGCCAGAATTCATTGGATCCCCACCAAACTGTAGACCTGAATGTGTCAGTAATACAGAATGTTCAAATCAATTAGCTTGTATAAATCAGAAATGTAAAGATCCTTGCCCTGGAACGTGTGGATTAAATGCTGAATGTAGAGTTGTCAGTCATACACCAAATTGTGTTTGTTTACCTGGCTATACCGGTGATTCATTCTCCGTATGTTCTTTGATTGGTAAGTATACTGAAAATTTCTCGACGCATATATTTGAACCCAATTACATTAGCTGAGAATTTGGATAATTATTAGAATAAGCTCCACATCTGATCCTATCCCTTTTTAGTTCAAACACTCACTCCTGTTGAAAGACCAACACCTTGCCTACCATCACCATGCGGTGCCAATGCTGAATGCATTGAAAGGAATGGAGTCGGGGCTTGCAAATGCTTACCAGACTATATAGGCGATCCTTACGGAGGTTGCAGACCCGAATGCAGCTTAAATTCTGATTGTCCATCGAACAAAGCCTGTATAAACAACAAATGTAAAGATCCTTGTCCTGGAGCATGTGGAAACAATGCCGTTTGTCAGATTGTGAATCATTTAGCATCATGTAGTTGTTTGACAGGATATAGTGGAGATCCTTGGAAATATTGTAGAATTGTAGAAGAAAGTAAGAAAACTAAACCAGAATTTTAAAATCTTCTAACCAATTTCTTATTTTAGTTGTAGTGGAACATGTTAATCCCTGTCAACCGTCACCTTGCGGCCCCAACAGTCAATGCAGAGAAATTAACGAGCAAGCTGTATGTTCTTGCTTACCGAATTACATCGGCAGTCCACCAGGTTGTCGACCAGAATGTACTGTTAGTACAGAATGTCCCCATGATAAAGCATGTATAAACCAAAAATGCGGTGACCCATGTCCTGGAACTTGTGGATTAAACGCCAACTGCCAAGTTATCAAGCATAGCCCAATATGTAGTTGTCAGTCTGGACATACTGGAGATCCATTTACTAGATGTTACCATTTACCTCCACCCCCTAAACCTGATGTTATAATTCCTAGTAATCCATGTGTGCCGTCTCCTTGCGGTCCAAACTCACAATGTCGCGATATAGGCGGAGTACCATCATGCTCTTGTCTGTCTGAATTTATTGGCAGCCCTCCGGGATGTAGACCTGAATGTACAATAAATTCCGAATGCTCCAGTAACCTTGCTTGCATCAATCAAAAATGTAGAGATCCTTGTCCAGGCTCTTGCGGTCACCAAGCAGTTTGCAACGTCATCAACCACGTACCTACGTGTACCTGCAATGAAGGCTTTACTGGTGATCCATTTACTTATTGTCAACCTAAACCGCCAGTACTAGTAATTGAAGAGGATCCATGCAACCCTTCACCATGTGGACCTAATGCTAATTGCAATGAAGGTATCTGTACCTGCATTCCGGAATATCACGGAGATCCTTATGTAAATTGTAGGCCTGAGTGTGTGTTAAATAATGATTGTTCAAGAGATAAAGCCTGTATTAGAAACAAATGTGTGGATCCCTGTCCTGGAGCTTGTGGACAAAATGCAGAATGTGCCACTATCAATCATATTCCAAGTTGTACTTGCCTACAAGGCTTTGAAGGAAATGCCTTTGTACTTTGTACACCCATATCAGGTATAAATTTTAACTTACCTAATAAACGAATTCATGTTATATTATAAACGCTTTCTTATGATAAAGTTTTAATTACTGTTATGAATATTCTTTTAGTTAAAACACCAAAGAATCCATGCAATCCAAGTCCTTGTGGTCCAAACAGTCAGTGTAGAGAAATTAACGAACAAGCTGTATGCTCTTGTGTCCCAAGTTTCATTGGATCTCCTCCTAATTGTAGACCAGAGTGCATATCCAGTTCAGAATGTGCTTTGAATCGAGCCTGTGTTAATCAAAAATGTATAGATCCATGCCCAGGCACTTGCGGAATAAACGCTTTATGTCAAGTTGTTAATCATAATCCTATTTGTACTTGTCAACCAGGCCAAAGTGGAGACCCGTTCACAAGATGCCAACCAATAAGTAAATCACTCAATAATTATTTTAAAACAAAATATTTACTATATCTTTTTTTAGGAGAGGAAACTATTGCACCAGTACAACCATGCAATCCTTCACCTTGTGGTCCAAATTCCCAATGTAGGGAAGTTGGAGATGCCCCATCTTGTTCTTGCTTACCAGAATTCATAGGAACGCCTCCAAACTGTCGCCCAGAATGTGTTAGTAACTCTGAATGTGCCAACCATCTTGCCTGTATTAACCAAAAATGTAAAGATCCATGCCCTGGAACATGTGGATTAAATGCTGAATGTAGAGTAGTCAGTCATACACCTAACTGTGTATGTCTAGCAAATTATGTTGGTAATCCCTTCATTCAGTGTCAACCTAAAATTGAAGTCATTCCAGTGGAAATTCCCACACCTTGCATACCGTCACCCTGTGGTATTAATGCTGAATGCAGAGAACTTAATGGCGCCGGGTCATGTACTTGCGTTGCAGACTATATTGGCAATCCTTACGAAGGTTGCAGACCTGAATGTACTTTAAATTCTGATTGTCCTTCCAATAAGGCTTGTATTAACAGCAAATGTAAAGATCCATGTCCAGGAACGTGTGGGTTGAATGCCGAATGTCAAGTTATTAACCACCTACCAGCTTGTATTTGTATTTCTGGATTTACTGGAGATGCATTTAGATATTGCAGTGTTGTACAAACAAGTAAGAAATACTTAAATGTCTACTAAATAAAATTTCTAAAGTAGCCCTTTATACTAATGGGAATTTTACTTTAACATATGAAATAAACAAAAATACTTTTTTAGTTGTAGAAGAAAAGCCCAACCCTTGTCACCCTAGCCCTTGTGGTCTTAATAGTCAATGTCGCGAAGTGAACGGCCAAGCTGTCTGTTCTTGTTTACCAGAATATACAGGCAGTCCGCCTAATTGTAGACCTGAATGTACAGTTAGCTCAGAATGTGCTCATAATAAAGCATGTCTAAATCGAAAATGTGTCGATCCATGTCCAGGAACTTGTGGTCTAAATGCCAAGTGTGATGTTATTAATCATAGTCCTATATGTAGTTGTCAATCTGGACATACTGGAGATCCCTTTACCAGATGCTACCACATACCACGTAAGAAATTACTATTTATTAATAATCACTTTTCTTTTAAAATATTTTTTCCTTTAGCTCCTTTACCAGACATACAACCTGTCATTAATCCATGCGAACCGTCCCCTTGCGGACTTAATAGTCAATGTCGCGATGTAGGAGGTGCTCCATCATGTTCTTGCTTAGAAAACTACCGAGGTGTCCCACCAAACTGTCAACCAGAATGTACAATACATTCAGATTGTTCAAGTAACTTAGCTTGTATGCAGTTAAGATGCAGAGATCCATGTGCTGGAGCATGTGGTGCAGGCGCTGCTTGTAATGTTATAAGTCACATTCCTGTTTGTCTTTGTCCCGAAGGATATACAGGAGATCCATTTACATATTGTATAGTTAAACCTCCTGAAATAGTTCCAGTAGTACAAGACGCTTGTAATCCGTCACCATGTGGACCTAACGCAAACTGTAACAATGGCGTTTGTACTTGTATTTCCGAATACCATGGAGATCCTTATAGAGAGTGTAGACCTGAGTGTGTATTGAATACAGATTGTAACAAAAATCTGGCTTGTATTAACAACAAGTGTAAAGATCCATGTCCAGGAACATGTGGACAAAACGCATTATGTTCTGTTTATAATCATATACCTACTTGTACATGTAACGAAGGCTTCCAAGGCAATGCATTTGTGTTGTGTTCACCTATTCCAGGTAAAATATATTTTTTGTTGAGATTTAATTACATTACATTCATAAATTGTATACATATTTCTTAAAATGATTAATGATTATTTTAGCTGAATTGCCTAAACACCCGTGCAATCCCTCACCTTGTGGAGCGAACAGTCAATGTAGAGAAATTAACGGCCAAGCAGTATGCTCATGTGTACCAGGTTTTATCGGCAGTCCACCAACTTGCCGCCCAGAATGTGTTTCCAGTTCTGAATGCGCCTTAAATCAAGCTTGCGTTAATCAAAAATGTATAGATCCTTGTCCAGGAACGTGTGGCTTAAGTGCTTTATGCCAAGTAGTAAATCACAATCCCATTTGTAGTTGCCCGCCTAGGTACAGCGGAGATCCATTTGCTAGATGCCTACCAATCGGTAAGATATATATTGACAACCAATTAAATTAAGCTGTTTTACTTAAAATAACGCAGTTTAATCTTAAAATACGGTGTTCATAAACCAATGTTTTTAAAATTTTATTTCTTATTATATTTTAGTTGAAGATCTTACACCAGAGCAAATACAAAATCCTTGTATCCCATCACCGTGTGGGCCCAATGCCCAATGCAAAGAAATAAACAACTCACCGTCTTGCTCTTGCTTACCAGAATTCATAGGAACTCCTCCAAATTGTCGTCCAGAATGCGTTAGCAACTCAGAGTGTCCAAATAACCTCGCCTGCATTAATCAAAAATGCAAAGACCCTTGTCCAGGAATTTGTGGTGAAAACGCAGAATGCAGAGTAGTCAGTCACACCCCTAATTGCGTATGTATCCAAGGATACGTAGGAAACCCATTTGTGAGATGCGATACTCCTCAAACTACCAAAGTTGAAATAGTACATCCTTGTTTCCCTTCACCATGCGGAGCTAACGCAGTTTGTAAAGAATTAAATAACGCAGGCTCATGTACCTGCTTGCCAGATTACATCGGAAACCCCTACGAAGGTTGTAGACCTGAGTGTGTTTTGAACTCTGACTGTCCTTACAATAAAGCCTGTGTAAGAAATAAATGTGAAGATCCATGTCCAGGAACTTGTGGGCAAAATGCACAATGTCAAGTTATTAACCATTTGCCTTCTTGTAATTGTTTACAAGGTTATACAGGAGATCCATTTGTCTTCTGTTCTACTATCAGGGAAAGTAAGTATAGATTGAAAAACTGTTGGTAAAAGTTCCTTTTTAACATAACAATTATTGCAGTTGAACCAGTGGAAACTAATCCATGCCAACCATCACCGTGTGGTCCAAACAGTCAATGCCGCGAAGTCAACAAGCAAGCAGTTTGCTCTTGCTTAACAAATTACATTGGCAGTCCACCAGGTTGTAGACCAGAATGTACTGTTAGCTCGGAATGTCCCTTACAGAAAGCTTGCGTAAACCAAAAATGTATAGATCCGTGTCCAGGGACTTGCGGGTTGAACGCCAACTGCCATATAATTAATCACAGTCCTATTTGTAGCTGTCAATCTGGTCATACAGGAGATCCATTCTCGAGGTGTTATCCTATTCCACGTAAGATTAATAAACACTTTTTTTGTATAAAATCTAACAATATTTAATTATAGCTCCTCTAGTGGAGCCCATAGAAACTCCAAATCCTTGCGTGCCTTCACCATGTGGCCCACATTCAATTTGTCAAGATATGAACGGTATTCCATCCTGTTCTTGTATTGTTAACTATATTGGGAGTCCACCAAACTGTCGACCTGAATGTACCATCAATTCGGAATGTTCAAGTAATTTGGCTTGCATTAGAGAAAAATGTCGAGATCCATGCCCAGGCTCATGTGGAATATCAGCACAATGTAGCGTTATCAATCATATACCAATTTGTACTTGCATCGACGGTTACATAGGGGATCCATTTAGAAATTGTTATCCGAAACCAATAATTACTGAAGTAGAAAAGAATCCTTGTAATCCTAATCCTTGTGGTCCTAACGCAGAATGTAACAATGGTATTTGCACTTGCTTAACAGAGTACCAAGGAAATCCTTATCAAGGATGTAGACCAGAGTGTGTACTGAATAACGATTGTCCAAGAGATAAAGCTTGTATAAGAAACAAGTGTAAAGATCCTTGCCCGGGAACTTGCGGTCTAAATGCAGAATGTATTGTAGTTAATCATATACCATCTTGTTCTTGTATAAATGGATATATCGGTAACGCATTTGTATCCTGCTCACCAATACCAGGTAAACATTATATTTGCAATTAATTTATTTCCAACCCCCTTCAAAACAAACATATTAATGAACTTTTTTTTAGCTGAAGTACCCAAAAATCCTTGCAGTCCTTCACCATGCGGTCCAAACAGCCAATGTAGAGAAATAAATAGCCAAGCTGTATGCTCTTGCGTTCCAGGGTACATAGGCTCTCCACCAACCTGTAGGCCTGAATGCGTTTCTAGCACGGAATGTTCTTTAAATGAAGCCTGTGTTAACCAAAAATGCATTGACCCTTGTCCAGGAACATGTGGTATAAACACAAACTGTCAAGTGGTTAATCACAACCCTATTTGTAGTTGTTTATTGAGATACAGTGGTGATCCATTTACTAGGTGTTTACCAATTAGAGAAGAACCTATATCAGAACCTAAGAATCCTTGCTCTCCTTCACCATGTGGACCAAACGCGCAATGTAAAGAAATTAATGGATCACCATCTTGCTCTTGCCTGCCACAATTCATAGGATCACCACCTTCTTGCAGACCTGAGTGTGTCAGTAATACAGAATGTGCAAGTAATCTTGCTTGTATCAACCAAAAATGTAAAGATCCTTGTCCAGGAATTTGTGGACTGAATGCAGAATGCAGAGTAATCTCTCATACTCCTAACTGTGTATGTCTACTTGGATATTCTGGCAATCCCTTCGTTCAATGTGCAATATTTAAACCTGAGCCTTCTGAGCAAATTAATCCATGTTTCCCATCACCTTGCGGTACCAATGCTATATGCAAAGAAAGAAATGGAGCTGGTTCTTGTGTATGTTTACCAGAATTTATAGGCAATCCTTACGAAGGATGTAGACCCGAATGTTCAATTAATTCTGACTGTCCATCTAATAAAGCTTGTATCAACAGCAAGTGTAAAGATCCATGTCCAGGAACTTGTGGTCTCAATGCAAACTGTCAAGTCATCAATCACTTACCATCTTGCACTTGCATTGGTGGATTTACTGGTGATCCGTTCAGATATTGCAGCGTCATCGTTATCAAAGAACGTAAGATTCGATTCGCAAATATGTTTGGTGTATTGCTTCAGACCTGAAACACTGCACCAAATATGGTGTTATTTAAATTATCTTTTCTAACAAAGATTATTTTTAGCCCCTCCTCCACAAAACCCCTGTCAGCCATCTCCATGTGGACCCAATAGTCAATGTCGTGAAGTTAATAATCAAGCTGTATGTTCTTGTCTACCTGAATATATTGGTTCCCCACCAAGCTGCAGACCAGAATGTACAGTTAGTTCCGAGTGTCCTCAAAATAGAGCTTGCGTTAATCAAAAATGTGTAGATCCATGTCCAGGAACATGCGGTTTAAGCGCGCTATGTAATGTTGTCAACCATAATCCTATTTGTATATGTCAACAAGGGCATACGGGAGATCCTTTCACCAGATGTTACCCAATACCAGGTAGTAATTAACTAAATATTATGAAAACAGTAAAAAAATGCAAAATAAATGTTTTCAGCTCCTTCAAAAGAAACTTCAAGACCTGCAAATCCGTGCATACCATCGCCTTGTGGTCTAAACAGTCAATGCAGAGATATCAATGGACAAGCCATTTGTTCGTGCTTAACAAACTACTTTGGAAACCCGCCAAATTGCAAACCAGAATGTGTTGTAAACTCTGAATGTCAAAGTAACCAAGCCTGTATAAATCAAAGATGTAAAGACCCATGTCCGGGTTCTTGCGGAATATCGGCTATCTGTGAAGTTAGGAATCATAATGCTGTATGTATGTGTCCACCAGGTTATACTGGTGATGCATTTACTAGTTGCGCCCCAGTATCATTACCAAAACGTAAGTTATTTTTTAGAACCTATATAATATCTACAATATCATCATAAAATTTAATTTTAGCTGAACCAAAAGACCCTTGTTATCCTAATCCTTGTGGACCAAACGCTCAATGTAATAATGGTATATGTACTTGTTATCCCGAATACCATGGAGATCCTTACGTAGAATGTAGACCTGAATGTTTGGTAAATCAAGATTGTCCTCGAGATAAGTCTTGTGTTAACAGAAAATGTGTAGATCCATGTCCAGGAACTTGTGGACAAAATGCGGAATGTACTATATTTAACCATTATCCTTCTTGCACTTGTTTACAAGGATTTTCGGGAGATCCGTTTGTTATATGTTCCAAAATAGAGAGTAAGTATAGATAATGTTATTGTATTGATGGGTCTAGTGGAAAATAATCAATTTGAATCCAAAATCTTAAAGGAAGACTGAAAATAAAAATATAATTCCCTTTTATTTAGAACCTCCTCCATCAAATCCATGCTATCCGTCACCCTGTGGACCAAACAGTCAATGCAGAGATATTTATGGGCAAGCAGTTTGCTCTTGCTTGCAAGGTTACTTCGGCGCCCCACCAACTTGTAGACCTGAATGCGTTTCTAGCTCTGAATGCCCCTTAAACCGAGCATGCGTCAACCAAAAATGTGTAGATCCCTGCCCTGGAACCTGTGGTATAAATGCACTTTGCCAAGTCGTCAGCCACAATGCCATTTGTACTTGTCCTGAAAGATATAGCGGAGATCCATTTATTCGTTGTCAGCTTGTAATTGGTATGTGTACTTAAAAAAATACGTAAATCTAAAATTATAGACAATAAATCATGTGTATATAAATAAATATTTTTCCCCATAGTCTCCGAAAGACCGTCTCCAACGAAAGTAGTACCTGAAAATCCATGCGTACCCTCCCCCTGCGGCTTATATGCTCAATGTGAACCAACTGCCCTTGGCACAGCCAAATGTATATGCTTACCAACCTATATCGGTAACCCACCCAACTGTCGACCAGAATGTCAAACCAACAGCGAATGCGCTAAAAATTTGGCTTGTATCAATCAAAAATGTAAAGACCCTTGTCCAGGATCGTGCGGACTTAACGCTAGATGCCTTGTGGCCAACCACGTGCCCAACTGTATATGTCAAGAAGGTTTTAGGGGTGATCCATTTACAATTTGTCATCAGCCACGTAAGATATTTTTATGTTTTTGTAACTAATACTATATAATAAGTATGGTGAATTAGAATAATTTTTATTGCTATTATTAATTTATTATTTTTTTATTTTTCTAGCTCCAACACCAACACCCAAACCGAGCCCAGAAGACCCATGCAGACCATCACCGTGTGGCGCAAATGCAATTTGTCATGTTGAATCAAACTACGGTGTATGCGAATGCTTACCAGAGTACCGCGGAAATCCGTACGAAGGATGCAGACCAGAATGCTTGTCAAATGGTGATTGTCCGATGAACAGAGCTTGCATCAGAAGCAAATGTGTAGATCCATGTCCAGGTACTTGTGGAATTGGTGCCGAATGTTTTACGACAAATCATGTGCCAGTTTGTACATGTCCAGATAGATATACAGGAGATGCTTTCAGATTATGCACACCAGTTACTGGTAAGTCATGTTTACTTATATTTATCAGTTAGGGTAAAATCGGGAAGAATACAGTAAATTTTAAATATAAATTTAAAATTTTTGTAAATTAATTTTAAATGTTATTTACTAAAGTAAGATTTAATTTTTGAAATCTAATAAATCGAAAGCAGAACGCATGAAACTATTATTTGCTAAAAATCATCTTTTTGTGGATAAGAATGATAACTTTATAAAAAATAGAAAACCATAAAATTCAGAACGAATAAAAATATACATAAAAGTGAGATACAAAAAATATACAATCAAAATAAGATATTAGAATATGTAGTACAAAAATTGTTTGAAAAATACACGTCTCTAAAACCAAATTAGTTGTAGATTTTATAAATTCCGATAAATTGTTTTTTTTTTTTTAATAATTAAAGGATTGAAGGAGGCCGAAAGCTTTAAAAAAATGTATAAGAATCAACGACGAAAAATTACTGGACTAATTTATTATAAGAGAGTATGGGAGAATATTGTTGTAATAATTGTTCGTGGTTATAATTCGGTATTGACTAAACATAAGGCTCTAAAGTGCACAGAAGGCTTTCAAAATTACATTAGGGAAGTATATCTGTAACGTGTGGAGGGTGGGTTACCCCACGGAACTTAGGCCTCATTAGGCCCATCCTCCTAATATGATAGGCACCTCCTAGCTCGTGAGCCAGCCTACAGATTTAATGTAGTCGACAACGTCGCCAAGAGGTGCTTCTTTTATATCGGCCGGGGTTAGCCGATTCTCGCCGAACACAAATCTTCTAATAAATGAGAGCGTCGAGCAATCGTAAAGGATATGTTCGATAGTCTCATCTTCTTGTTCGCACCCTCCGCAGAGTGCGGTTTCTGACAGCCCCATGATATGGAAATGCTTCCGTACTTGACAATGACCAGTCAGAATGCCTGTGACTAGGCGCAGATTCTGTCTAGTCATAGTCAAGTATTTATTTGCTGCAGTGTTGTCAAGATAACTTAAGAGCTCCCTGGAAACTCTGCAGTTTCTTGTTTCATCCCATCCTTGAATTTCACAAGGGAATGTTCTTTAATTGTCAGGCCAATAGAAGGGCCAGGTCCAAAAAATATTTGATTGGCTGCTTTCTTGGCTAGTGAATCAGCAAGACGGTTTCCTTTCGACGTGGCGTGACCTTTGATCCATCTTAAGGTGACCATATTGTTGATGGATACTTCGGCCAAAGCTTCGTGACATTCTAGTACTAACCCTGAGTAACGAAAAGGCCGACGAATTTGCCCGACAAGGCTCAGATAAGGCCATGACAGGTCCCGAACTCTTTCATGGAGTTACAAGACATTGTGCAAGGCACCCATCTAACCATGGTTACAAAAAGAATTTTAGGAATGGTAGAACAACTGTCCAAGATTGAGCAGGTCAAACAGTTCATCAAATAACCATCGGCTAAGTTCACGAAAGACTTACTGGATTAAAAACGTCAAATCGTTAGGATAACAGTAGGTCTTCTTACCGGATACCACATTGTTGATGGATACTTCAACCAAAGCTTCGTGACATTCTAGTACTAACCCTGAGTAAATTCGTGGTCTGTTCAGGGTGAGTAGTGCTTGTCTGCTATCTGTATAGATGAGCATATTCCTTCCAGTGATATTGTTTCTGGTTATTTCTTTTGCTGCTATGAGAATCCCCGTTAGCTCTGTTTGAACTACACTGGCACTATTGCTCACAGCCCATTTTATGTTTAGGTTTAAGAATCTGGAGTATATTCCACATCCTGAGCCTTGCTTTGTTTTAGAACCGTCGGTGTATATATGAATCGTACCTGCCACTTCTGGCTCTTCTATTTGTTCTATTATAACTTTATATGGCTTATGGAAGATATACCTTGGTGAGATGGAGTCCATGTTCGCTTGAAGCAGTGGGAGCGTATCGAGCGCCTCCTGCCAAAAGCGACGTCTCGCTTCACCAGATCCTACATCAGGTTCTATTCCGACCGTACGGAGGCATGTCATTGTCGTCAGAGCAACCTCCTTGATGTAAATATCAAGGGGAGTGAAACTAAGAATGACTTCTATGGCTCTGGTCGGCGTTGTTTTCATGGCTCCTGTTATGTTGAGACATGCTGTTCTTTGAATTTGTTCTAGTTTACGGATAGCTGTTAATTTTTGGGTTTTCGGTACCCAGACAACTGCACCGTATGTTAGCATAGGTCTTATGATAGCCGTGTAAGTCCATGCGACGACTCTGGGGAAAAAACCCCAGGTTCGCCCCATGGTTCGGCGGCTTTGTTTTCTTAGTGCGAGTTCCATGTTAACTTGCTGTCAAAGGTGAGACCTAGGTACTTCACCTCTGTTGCAAAGTTTAGTTTTGTGTTTAGGAGTTATGGAGGTTTTAATTCCATTTTCATCCTTTTCCTTGTTGAAAGGACCATTTCTGTCTTCTTACGATTAATAGACAGTGAATGGTCCTTGCACCACTGTTCTATAATTTTTAGAGCTACTTACATTCTTTCGCAGAGTATGTTCTCAAAATTCTCTGTTTGCAGAATGAGCAGGTCATTTGCATATGCTATTGTATAGTGACTGTCATTATTCAAGCGGCTGATGAGGGTGTCGAGGACCCTATTCCACAGTAGAGCACCCCTCCCTGTGGACATCCCCTCGCAACAAAGCCTCTTATATTCACATCTTCTACACTTATGTTTACTGCTCGCTTTGAGAGCATGTTATGTATCCACTCACTAACCATTTGTTGAACATTCCTGTTGGTTAGTGAGTGTATTATCTTTGGGAAAACACCCAAGGCGGACTCCTTATTGTCCAGGGATCTTTCTATCCGGCCAGCAACTAGATGAAGGGCTGAATCAGTAGATCTGCCTGGGGTGTATGCATGTTGGTTTGAGTGTAGTGGTGTTGTTGTAATCACCGCATCCCTTATGAACTTTTTGCATATCCTTTCCAATGTCTTCATGAAAAACGATGTCAGACTAATTGGTCGGTATGTTTTTGGGACAGTGTAATCCATCCTTCCAGGTTTGGGTATAAATCCCACTTTCACGTCTCTTCATTTTTTGAGGATATACCTCAGAGCCAACGAGGATCTGAATATACCCACCAGGTGCGGTGTGAGTTCTTCCAGACCCCACTGAAGTAGAACTCGATAGATACCGTCAGGTCCTGGCGATTTAAATGGAGAAAAGCTACAATGTGTTTGGCAGTTTGCCAATCACAGACAGATGGATTGTATTCTTCCTCTGCTCAGTCGGCCACGTCTGTGATGACCGAGTCAGAGAAGTGTGCTGACAGCAGAAGTTTGATGCTATCTTCGAGGTTGGCAGTTGTCGTGCCATCCTCTTTAATTAGCGCACCAATGCTTCAGTGTGGATCTTTTGAAGCCTCGCTGCCAACGAGAAATCTTCGATTTCTTCGCAGTAGGATCTCCATGCATCTCTCTGTTTTTGTCTGACGATTTTTTTGTATTCTCTGAGGTGATATTTGTAAGTATCCTAGTCCTCTTTGAGTTTTGTGGTTCTTGCCTTATTAAATGATTTCCTAGCCATCTTCCTGAGGTGATCCAACTCGTGACACCACCATGCGGTAGTCGTCTGATCGTGTTGGACCAGCCTCAGGGCACAAGATTTCTTATAGGCATTGTTTATTGTGCTTTGGAGAGTGTTAGAGTACTTTTCCAAAGCATTGTTATTGTTTGGTGTTTCGGCCTCCATCTCTTTCAATGCCTCTTGGAGAAGGTGGGCATAGATTGCCCTGTCCGTCTTCCTAGGGTTCCGAGATAGCGTGGAGGTCGACAACATCAAGTTTCTTTTGAATGTTAACCAGCGGTGTAGGGGAGTATATTTGCATTCTTAATGCCAGTTCTTATGAGTTTAATGTATTTTTTTCTCGTTGCAACTATTATGGTTGTATAGTGTTTTTCAGGAAAGTGCGCAATTAATTTTGAAGTGTGACAGCAGTGTACAGAAAGCGTAATAGAAGTACCTAAATACTGATTCATTCATAAAACGCATTATCTCTCAGATAAACATACACAAACCATCCCCACTCAAATTAGCTGATGTCTTCTTCTTTCTAATGCAACAGTCGATGCGGCAACTCTGTCTACTTAATAATAAACACAATATGAATGATTGCAATAAAAAAGGACTTAATTATGAATGAATAGATTAGTTTAATAGTTTTTCGTCGTTGATAAGAATTGATATTTATTTTGAGATAATCCCTAGAAAGCACAAGTCATTGAAGTTTCTACAAATGACACTTGTTATTATGACATATAATTAAAAAAATGTTTTAACGCTTTCGCTGCGCAAGCTTTAGTGCCAACTACATGCTCTGGCTTATTGGTATACGAACATTTAGAAGTTTGTACGTACATTAACGTCATGGGCCTGGAAAGTAAAAACATGTTTTTAAATGGAACACCATGTATTTTATTTCAGTTTTAGAGAGGCATGGTAATACTGTATTTATCACTAGAATATTTTTCAACTTATAAGGACCAAGCTGTGATGAAAGAATTGGTTTATTTTATACAGTGTTTTAATTATACATACACAGGGTATCCCATCAGTGGGTAATTGATCGATAGATATTTTATTATTGGCGATATGAAGAAATGTTTAATATAAAAGTTGTAAGACCATACAATTATTCTTTAATATACATGTTAGTCTATAAATGAGGGGAAAACCAAACAGATATATTTTTAAACCAAACACCCTGTAGGTAGTTACGCCTTGCAGATTTGGTGGTTTTCACATCGTTTTTTAATTTTATAGACTAAACGTTCCTAAAAATATTTAACATTTTCATTTATTTGCTGTGATGCTTACAGGGTGTGTTTAAACTTGAGGTTACAATATTCTCAATTTATTCAAATATATCCTGTGTGTTATACCACCAATTTATAAATTAATTTCTTTACTTTTTTTATTTTGTTTGGCATTGTATTCCCAAACGAATTTTTTCTCAAGATTTTGATGATTTTACCATGAAAATTGACATAATTTTTTCGCATTTTTCAAATTGACTTTTGAAAAAATTGACTTATTTAGGGTAAAATGCTAATTTAATTTTTGGTAACCCATTTGTCAGAATTCATTAATGGTTTTCTGTTCCTTCGACGTTACAAGTAATATGAACCATTGTAAATAAAATTAAAAAATCAGTTCAGGCACAAGAATCCCAAACAAAATAAAAAGTAAAGAAACTAAATTATTAGTTAATTAAGTTTGTGGTATAACATACAGGGCGTTTTATTTGAAAAAAAAAATAAATCATAATCTTGCGTTTTGACACACCCTATATACAACGTAGCAGCAAATTAATGGAAAGTCAAAACATTTTTATAAATGTTAAGTCTATTAAAATTGTTTGACGATGTGAAAACAAATAAATTTGTTATACATGGGAGTTTTATTTTAAAACAGTATAAGTTTTTCCACCACTAATTTATGAATTTTCCTGTATATTTAGGAATAATTTTAAAATATGATCGTACGACTTAAAAATGTCTTCGTATCTTTAATAATAAAACAGCTATCGATCAATTACGCACTGATGAGACGTATATATATAATAAGCTAACATAATGGTATCGTTAGATAGGTAAATTTATAATGTATTTAGTGCTAAAATAATATACGCGTTCAAATTGGGTAAAATGAAGTGAAAATGGGCCATATTTATGAGATGTTTCAAACCCCTCTGTATAAAATAAACTAGTTCTATCATGTGTATTTGTCAGTTTGGTATCTTATAAGCCTGTATTTTAAATAATGTTCAACTCATTGACAAGCTACTTAAATTCTGGTAATTTATTTGGGGTTTGTATCATTTTATATCACAAAAAATTAATCGCTTGGCAAATTTAATAGGAAAAGAAAAAGTCTTATTTAACATATTTAAATATAGTAAAGCATATTATCTATTTCAAACAAAATAATATATGAAATTATATAAAACATGCGTTCTTGTGTTTTTCAATGTGTTGAGGTGTTGAGGTTATGTTTCAAATTTGACATTTTAATAAAGAAATTCTTGTACTAAATATATATTTTCAACAAAATATCGGTAGGAAACTTACCTTTTTTAAATTCAGACGGTCATTAAAAATATTTAAGATAACTAGTACATCGGATGTCCTAGATAAAGTTCAAATTAAAATTCCATAATTCAACTTGCTTGTTGACGGATAAAAATGAAATGACAATCCAAGTTTTAACACAAGACATAAACGACAAATGACGTTTGTGTAGAGATGTTGGTTTCAAAATAACGAAAACGGGTCTGGGTCAAATAACGAAAACGGTTTTAACCGTTACAACCTGTAATACTTTTTAAAAATATTCGAGGGTATAATAATAATTCTAAAACAGAAATAAAATACGGTGTTCCATTTAACAAATATATATTTTTACTTTCCAAGCAAAAGCGTAACACACTGTATATCCAAAAATATTTTTATATTATATTTTTTTCAAATCCATATTACTTTTATTAAAGACTTGTTTGCGTGTCTATGCCACAAATTGAAATATCGAGCAATTAGGTACATCATTTAATTAGAGCCTGTTAAAGCCTTGCTATCTTAAATTCATAAACACAATATTAAAATCAAATTCATAATGCACTAATTTAATAACGTTTTTACGTGTCTACGGGGTTATAAAGACAATTTACTACATAGCAACTTGTCTACATTCATCGAAGTATACATCTTCAAATGCTGTTACAAAACGTCATTGGCATGGGGGAAAGAACTATCATGATGTTAATGAACGTCATGGGCAGCGAAAGTGTTAAATAAAAGTTTTGCGACAAATAATATATTTTTTAACTGGGATACCTTGTAGATATATTATAAAAATTTTGAAATATTTCTCAATGATTTCAATAATATACCATATGTATCTTATACCATTTTTGAGTAATTAAACGTCGAATCTCTTAGTTAAACTACTTACTGTAAATTTGGAAAAGTTGGACATATTAAAGTAAGCTATGAAAATGACAACTCTTACTAAGACCGTTCAAATTTAACCCGGAATATCGTCATAGTCTTATGGAAACGCCTAGTTGGAAATCGATCATTGTGTTAACTCTAGGGAACTATATAGATACATTGCGTACTTTCATTGAAGTTTCAATTGTTTTTTTTTTTTATTAATACTGTCAAAGATGATGGAACAATCAGTTCATGTCACTGTTCCGCAACGAATTATAAAATTTCTTTGCAACGAGAATGTTAAATTTTCGAAAGACTTCGTCACAAATATGGAACGATGTGTGTTACACTGTTGTCAAACTTTTATCCGGGAAAGTTAACACGGCTCTTCGATCAAAAAGAAGGAACCAGTTGATCAGAAGTAATCACCACATTTCTTTGTACATTATTTTATCCAGTATGTACTTGTTTCGCTTCTTCTCACTCAAGTTAATAATAACTTAGCAGAATTGTATTCCATCTGACTAGAGACCACTAGTATGCTACACCTACTCACGCCACGCAAGAATTCACTAAAAAAAATTCGCCTCACTCCAGTTTTAATCTTTCAACAAAGAAGATGTCTCGGAGTTGACAGCTCCTTAAACATTCATTCATCTTTGGGGCTTCGAGCCCAATGATACTTGTCGTCCGATGATAATACATTAGCATATTATCAAACGGACTTCGTTTTCCTTTTCATCCGCAAACAATGTATATCATTGTCGCGTATTGTGATGCCGGTCCACCCAACTCATTAAACAGCCGCCATCTCCAAATTTTTTTAAATAAGTGAATATTTTCCGTGCCGATATTTTTACCTTAATCAGAATATTAAGTAAATTTTCGACAGTACAAAAAACGTTATTGTACTTCTGTAAAAAGTTGATTGTTTCTATCTCATAATGATATAATAAACAGAGTGCTATTATTCAGCTTTTAATTTATAGACAACAAATTTCCCTTGCAAGGCTGAATTGCAGCTTCACCAGTCCAGGGTAATCTGATAAAAAAGTACATTGCAGAAAACCAAATTCTGCCATTAAACACATTTCTTTAATAAAATAATCAAAATGGATTACAATGAGGAAGAAAAAGTGTACATATTTGCCTAAACTAAGATAAACTAAAATATTTAAAGATTTTTGAAATCAGCAATCCAAAAATTTTATAAGATCGGGGTATTCCATTTAAAAAAATAGTACATTATACACTTAGGTTGAGAAGTGAGCTATTATTTATCGAGCACTTATATCCTGAGGTGCGTAGCGCCGAAGGAAATAATGTACGAGGTTTATAATGGCCTTCTCAACCGAAGTATATATACAAATTTTTTACTACTAACACTGATATATTACCATATTTGATTTGATTAGATTTTGATAAAACCAGCTTTAGTTACTTCCTATTCATTTTTTAAATATTTCGAAATATCAAGTAGTCTGGGAGTTTAGTTGTCAAATTAACAAAATGAAACTAATGGAAATCAATTTCATTATTTATTTAAGTGTTTTTTATTCTCATTATTTACCTATGGTGAGAAATATTACTTCTAATTAGATTTCTCATGTCAGTAATAAAAAAACCTTTTTTAGCTAATTGAATCTTAATTTTTTGCCATTTTTGTAATTTTGTTCTTTAATGAAATATGTTTTCTCGAATATTGGTTTCATTTTGTATTTAAATTGTAAATAATAGGAAATCAGACTGACTTTAAATTTAGTAAACTTGCATTGTTGTCATGCATTGACAATACCAACTTCGAAGCGATCAAGTGTATTTTTGTACGGAGCTTAATCTTTTCATCACTAGTTGCTTCTGCTGTAGTATAACTTTAATTAATGAATACAAAAGTCCCTAAGTTAGATTCGAATCCACAACCTTGCAACTACGTATTAAAGGATCTAAATACAAGGATCTAAGACAAATAAACTAAACTAATCATTATAAATTTCTAGTGAAGAACTCCAATTTATTTAGTAACAACCAAGATCATAAACATTAAGAATATGACGCTATTTTTTTTATTACAGTCGAACCACCTAGAGACCCATGTAACCCAAGCCCATGCGGTATTAACACCATCTGCCGCAAATCAGGTGAAAATGCCATATGTGAATGTCTGCCAGGTTTCTTTGGAACGCCTACTGCAGGAGGCTGCCGACCAGAATGTACCATCAGTGCCGATTGTGACAGAAATAGAGCCTGTGTAAACAATAAATGTATAGATCCTTGTCCAGGAGTCTGTGGTTACGCAGCTATTTGTAACGTAATCAATCACAGCCCCGTTTGTAGTTGCCCACCACCCTTAATAGGAGATCCATTTTTACTATGCAGAGAGCCTCCTGAGGAAAAAACTAGAGATCCTTGCAATCCTTCCCCATGCAACATAAACGGACAGTGTCAAGTAGAAAATGGTGTAGCCACTTGTATCTATCCGGAATGTATTATCAACCAAGATTGTCCAAGAGATAAAGCCTGTTACTCCCAGAAATGTAGAGATCCTTGCAGGGGAGCCTGCGGTATCAATGCCTTATGTCAAGTAGTAAATCATCAAGCGGTCTGCTCTTGTCCATCTGGCTATGTAGGTTCAGCAGAAGTACAATGCTTAATACCAGATGAACCTAAACCAAAAGTTGAGTGTACTCAAGATTCCGAATGTACAAACGATAAGGCTTGTATTAATAGCAGGTGCCTAAATCCTTGCACTCCAGGACTGTGCGGTCAAAATGCTGACTGTAGGCCACAACTTCATAGAGCTGTATGTACTTGTAGAGATGGTTACACAGGCAATGCTCAACAAACTTGCTTCGAAATAGGATGCAGATCTGATTCTGAATGTGCACCTACTCATTCTTGTGTAAACAAAGAATGTGTAGATCCTTGCCTCTTCACTTCATGCGGACTGAATGCCCAGTGTAGAGCTGATTACAACCACAAAGCAAGATGTTATTGTCCAAACAACTTCAGAGGTGATCCATTTGTAAGATGCGAAAGACCTGAATGTACTAGAGATGAAGAATGTCCTTACAACCTGGGTTGTAGAAATGAACGTTGCTATGACCCTTGTAATTGTGGTTTAGGAGCGATATGTTCAGTGACCAACCATAGACCGCAATGCTCTTGCCCTCCAGGTTACACAGGAAATCCTTTGAGCTCTTGTAAAATCGAATCTATAGAAGAAAAGCCTGAATGCAAAATGGATGCTGATTGTCCTAAAAAATTAGCTTGTTTCAATGGAATTTGTAAGAATCCTTGCTACGAAACGCATCCATGCGGTAAAAACACGGAATGTATAGTCGTTGATAGTTTGCCATTAAGAACCATGTCTTGTATGTGTTTACCTGGTTACGTTGGCGATGCCGACACCGAATGTAGACTAGGTAGGTTAAAAAAAAACACCTCTTTAAAATTAGTAACATGCTTTAAAACCAAACGACTCATAATAATAAATGTATTTTCATTTTTCAGGAAAACCTACTATAACTCCCTTATTTTCCTAACTTAATAGACAGCAACACTAACAACATTGATTTTCATAAAAATGTATATTATAGTCTCGTCGCATTTGATTACACATTCATTTATTTTTATTTCTCTAGAACCCCAACAGCAACCTGGTTGCAAGAGCAGCTCAGAATGTCAATCAACTGAAACGTGTATAAACCGCCAATGTATAAACCCATGCGCAGTTGGTAGTCCATGTGCTGTCAATGCAGAATGTGCTCCTGTCGATCGTAAAGCCTCTTGTAAGTGTCCACCAGGATTAATAGGAGATCCATTCATTAAATGTTATCCACAACCACAAACTAGACCAGAATGTAAAGCTGACTCGGAGTGTTCCAATGATAAATCTTGTATTAACCAGCGTTGCCAAAATCCATGTGAACTAGCTAATCCTTGTGGGTCTAACGCTGAGTGTAAGACAAGCTTCCACAGACCCACTTGTTCTTGTCCCAGAGGTTGGTTAGGAAATCCACAAATAAATTGTTACAAACGTAAGTAATCTTTAATAAAGTATCTCCATTCAAAGAAATATAACACTTTTTTTAATTTTACAGCTGAATGTACCTCAAACCAAGACTGTCCTTATGACAAAGCCTGCATTAACGAATACTGTCAAAATCCTTGTAATTCACTGTCGTGTGGCAGAGGAGCAGAATGCATTGTCCAAAAACATTTCCCACAATGTCAATGTCCTCTAGGGACTCAAGGGAATCCTCTAGTTTCATGTATCACCGGAATCTGCCACTATAACGAGGATTGTGCAGATCACGAAGCTTGTGACAGGTTAAACAGAGTTTGTAGGCCAGTTTGTGATGAAGATACATGTGCAGATGGAGCTACATGTATAGGCCAACAACATCAGCCTAAATGTAATTGTCCTCCTGGTACTACTGGTAATCCGTTTGTCAAATGCCTTGGAATGCTACCAGAACCGGAAGGATGCAGAACTGATTCAGAATGCCCATCCCAATTTGCATGTATCAATGCTAAGTGTGTTAATCCTTGCACTACTGAAAATGTTTGTACTATCGATCAAGAATGTATTATAGAAGACACCCTTCCATTAAGAACGATCTTGTGTCAATGTCCTCCAGAAACTATGGTAGATGCTGCGGGAAGATGTGTACGTATCACCCAGATCAAACCACAGTGTGTTATCGATTCAGAATGTAACGACAAAGAAAAATGTATTAGCGGAACTTGCATAGAAGCTTGCAGAATTGATAGATGTGGTGTCAATGCCATCTGTACGTCAAGAAATCACCAAGCTATATGTAGTTGCGCACCAGGATATACTGGAAATGCTCACTACGAATGTACAAATGTTCCTAAAGGAGTAATAGAAGTTATACCACCAGAGTGCTACACAGACAGAGAATGTGTGTTAGATAAAGTCTGCAGAAATGAAAGATGTGTTAATCCTTGTACTTACGATAGCCCCTGTGCTCCTACTGCATTCTGTTCAGTGAGAAATCATCAAGCTATTTGTAAATGTCCAAATGGATATGATGGAAATCCAGCTATAGATTGCATAGCACGTAAGTAACCATTTTTTATTCTTATTTTTCAGTAAATTAATAATTTTATGTTGCTGTGAGAAATTAGTCGAAGTGCACTCAACCCATAACATAACATGCTTATTTGTGTTTTTTGTTTTAGCACTTGGACCAACCGTAGGCTGTACCTCAAATTCTGAATGTCCAAAATCCGAATCCTGTATCAACCGTCTCTGCACCAGCCCCTGCAATTGCGGCCCCAATGCAGACTGCAAAGTAGTAAACCACTATCCAACCTGTTATTGTCGTCAAGGCTATTCAGGAAATGCTCAAATAGGATGCGTAAAATTAGGATGTCAATCAGACAACGAATGTGCTAGCGATTTGCAATGCTACAATGGCCAATGTATCAATCCTTGTATACTAGGAAATCCATGTCCAAGAAACGCAGAATGTTATGGACACAATCATAGATCAACTTGTAGATGTTTGACAGGATTCGAAGGCAATGCACTTAGCAGATGCGAACGTGTAGAATGTCATGTGGATAACGACTGTCCGAATAATAGAGCTTGCTTACAACAAAGATGTGTAGACCCTTGCTCCTCTATTGCCAATCCTCCTTGTGCCCAAAACGCAGTATGCTACGTTCAAAACCACGTTGCTGGATGTTTATGTCCACCTCACTTACCCGACGGAAACCCGCTTTCCTATTGTAGCCCTAGACGTATAGAAGGCAAATCAGAATGTGACTTCGATATTGATTGCCCAAGCAAGTTAGCCTGTATAAAGAACGAATGTGTCAACCCATGTGTCAGTTTATCGCCATGTCATCCATCTGCTCAATGTAGTGTTTCTGATACAACACCTGTAAGAACCATGATTTGTACTTGCCCAGAAGGTTGGGTTCCTAATGAAAACGGCGAGTGCCACCCAGTAATAGTGCCAATACCACCTGGTTGTACCAGTGATGGCGATTGTTCTGATAAAGAAGCATGCATAAACAGATTGTGCACATCCCCTTGCGAATGTGGAACAAATGCTAATTGTCATATCCAGAACCACAGAGCAATTTGCTCTTGCCGCGAAGGTTACGAAGGCAATCCCAACATCGCATGCCACGCAGTAGGTTGTAGGGTTGACTCAGAATGTGGGTCAGGAAGAGCCTGTATCAACGGAAATTGTTTAAATCCATGCCTCATTAAAGACAATTGTGGAATCAATGCTGAATGCTTCGTATATCAAAACAGAGCCGAATGCAGATGTGCCAGTGGCTATAGAGGTAATCCATTGGATAGATGTACCCCAATAGGTTGTCTGTCCAATAGCGATTGTCCTAGCGATAGACAATGCATAAATGCTCAATGTATAAATCCTTGCATTTACGATAACCCTTGCTCTCCTCGAGCAGAATGCAGCGTGCACAACCACCTCTCAGTATGCAGATGTCCACCTGGTTTAATCGGTAATCCTTATGTTAGCTGTAAACCAGAACCTCAACCTGAATGTAAAGAAGATTCTGAATGCCCTTCAAGATTAGCTTGCCTAAACAACAAATGTCAAGATCCATGCGCAGTCCTTGAACCGTGCCGTAGACCAGCTGAATGCCAAGTCATAGGAACTGTGCCAGTAAGAACAATGATATGTATTTGCCCTCCAGGATACATCAGCAGTGGAAGTGGAACTTGTAATCCAGTTACTGCAGTTACAGTAGTAGGAGCTTGTATAAGCGATAGTGACTGCCCTGCCACAAAGGCTTGTTACAATGGTATCTGTAAAAACCCATGCACCTGCGGACCCAATGCGGAATGTAGAATTAAAGACCACAAACCGATTTGTACCTGTAAGCAGGGTTATGACGGTAATCCAGAATTGGAATGTAGAAGGATTGGTTGTAGAGCTGACAGTGAATGTTCGACTCAACATACCTGTATAAATAGGTAAGACAAAGTCAATATTTTAAACAATGAAAATTTCTTATGTATTCTATTTTAAACACAATTCTTTTTCTAGGCAATGTGTCCCAGTTTGTGCAGCAGATGGTACTTCATGTGGCGATAAAGCGGTTTGTTACGGTTACAATCATCGTGCTGTTTGCGAATGTCCACCAGGACTTAAAGGAAACCCAAGAGTATCTTGTAACGTTGTTGGCTGTAGAATTGATTCTGACTGTCCAAGCAACCGAGCATGTATCAATACCAAATGTGAACTGCCTTGTACAGTAGCCAACCCATGTGACGCAGTAGCCGAATGCAAGGTCTATAACCACGTTATTGAATGTATTTGTCCACCGGGTACTGTCAGCGATGGCAGAATGGGATGTATCAGAAGAGAAGAAAAATGTAGGATGGACTGGGATTGTCCATCACAGTATGCTTGTATTGGATCGGAATGTGTAAATCCTTGTAATGCCACAGAACCTTGTGGCGTTAACGCAGAATGCAGTGTATTAGATACCAGACCTGTAAGAACTATGGTTTGCATTTGCGTTCATGGTTATCAAGGAAATCCAGCTGTTCAATGTGATCCAAGTAGGTTTATATAATTTGTTCTTATAGCACATAATCTATGTTTACATTTGAACTTGTTTTATTTAATGGGTTTTAACTATTTTTTCTAGTTGCGAGATGTCCAATAGACAAGGGCTACTTCTTAACCCCCGATGGAAGATGTATATGCGCACCAAACCTAGCTCTTAACGAAAACGATGAATGCATCCCTTGTCCGATAGAAAAAGGTCTCAAGATAGACGAAAGAGGTCGCTGCGTATGTGCTCTAGAAAAAGGTTTAATAATCGACGAACGTGGCAACTGTGTTTGTCCATTAGAATTTGGTTATCACTTCGATGCTAAAGGCAATTGTGTACCAGACACTGGACCTGAATGTGAGTACAATGATGATTGTCCTGACCATAAATATTGCAATCAGAATACGAAGACTTGTGAAGATGCTTGCTTATTGAAACATTGCGGTATTAATGCTTTCTGTAATGCTACGAATCACCAAGGAAGATGCATTTGCATTGCTGGATATGTTGGAAATGCAGAAATACTATGTAGTAAGTATTAATAGAGTTACTTATTTAAATAGTGAATATTAATATCTTTAAATTTAGATGGAGAGTAAAAATATACTATGTGAAATCATAGAAAATAATTTAATGACAATGATTCACTATGAACATGCATTTATAGTAACAAAATTATTTTCCCTTTTTGCAGATCAAACTACCTATTACAAGACAGACTTCCCAAGACCAGACCTCACAGTCAATTGTTTGTCAGATGGTGTTCAAGTAGAAATAACCCTTTCAGAAATTGGTTTTAATGGAATTCTTTACGTCAAAGGCCATAGCAAGGATGAGAAATGTAGAAGAGTTGTGTCTATTGATACGGGAGAAAGAATAGAATATTTCAAAGTTCATTTTGGAGAATGTGGACTCATACATGTCAATGTAAGTAATATTATATATTCATTGAAGAGTTACAAAATCGCTAATAATAAACCAATTTATTTTTATATCGGGACCAAAAGTAGAACTGAAACTGATTTAAATTTCCTTTTTAGGGTGAAGCCAGTTTTGTGCTGGTCATCCAGAAACATCCCAAACTTGTAACTTACAAAGCACAAGCATACCATATCAAATGCGTCTACCATACCGGAGAACAGAATGTAACCCTAGGATTTAATGTATCGATGTTGACAACCGCGGGAACAATAGCCAATACTGGACCTCCACCTACGTGTCTCATGAAGATCGTAACTCCAACCGGAGAAGAGATAAACTCTGCAGAAATTGGAGACAACTTGATGCTTCAAGTGGACGTCCAACCCGGATCGATTTATGGAGGTTTTGCAAGAAGTTGCGTTGCTAAGACTATGGAGGATAGCGTTGAAAATGAATATATAGTCACAGATGAAAACGGTTGTGCTACTGATCCAACTATATTCGGAGAATGGGAATACAATCCAGACACGCAGAGTTTGTTAGCAAGTTTCAATGCGTTTAAGTTCCCTAGCAGTGATAACATCAGATTCCAATGTAATATTAGAGTGTGCTTTGGAAAATGTCAACCAGTAAGTTAAAATAACAATGACAATTCTTGTATTCCTAAACCATGGCGTTATCAGATACACAATGTGACACTTTATTTTTAGGTTAATTGCCGAGGCTATAATGCATTTGGAAGAAGGAAGAGAGCTATTGAAGATTCAGATGATGACGAAAATGGTACAGATCTTGCTTTAGGTGGAGATCTGTTAGCCGGTCAATTAAGAGAAGAAATAACTATCCAATCTAACGCTATATTGACGCTTGAGAAACGTGAAGAAAGATACCCAGATTCTCAGACTGGTAAGAACCTTTATAAAAATATCCTTAAAACTTTACAAAATGCGATAAAATTATTATTTTAAATCCATATAAATATTTTTTAGCTGCAAACGCACAACGTGCAGAAGATATATGTGTCTCAATGATTGGTTTTATCATTGCACTGATAATCACTGCCCTACTGGCCTTGGTAGCCGTTGCTGTAGCCGTTTCCTGTTGGTTGATGGCTTATCGTCGCAGGCCGAAATCAACTGGACCGCTACCGCATCCGCCGGAATTTCCAAACCCATTATTTACCACACCAGAACCAATGGCGGAACCAAGTCCAGACTACCTCACGTAAAATTCCAGAATTTAGTAATTTTAAGTTTTAATACTCTTCGATTTTACCCGATATGTTGACAAAAACTATCAAAATACTCGATTATTGTAAATTTACTATCGACAAGTTCGTAACAATCAAAATACTTCTTGAAAATCCGTCCGTTGCTACTCACTAAATACTGCCGAAAAGAAGTAATGATGTTACGGACGAAATAGCGAATATAATTTTAGTTTAAACTTTAAAATGTGTGCACCTTAACACCACAGCAACATTACATAGAAACGTATCACTCTAAAAGACTATCGGAAAGAAGACGATCTGATAAAGAACAGAACAAATATGTCGTTTCTAGTTCTACAGCCAAGATGTATATAAATATGGCACCCAAATCCGTCAAAAGAAATAAGATATAAAAGGATGATCAAGTGATATTAACGTTTCTTTTGGTAGTTGCTGGAAGAATAGTCGAATATACCTACGGTGCCTACACATTTTAAACTATCTTTTCCATTGGCTGCAAGTAACCAGAGTTCTTTCACAGACAAGGGAAAAAATTAGGTGGTGGTTTTTATAACGCTTTAATAAAAATGTCTCGACTTTGAATACGGCCCTTGCTATTATTTTTGTAAATGTCTCTTATATCAATAATTGTGTTCTATTGTAAATATGAGTTATATTTTCACTTTTGGCAGCCTTTGGAAGACTTAGGATTTACATTTAAGTTAGTTAAGTATAAATAATTATTTCTTTGAGCCTGTATAAAGTGTATGAATGAGTCGAATGAGGAACAATTGAGAATTGCTCCAATTTTTTTTTATGGTGCTGACTGATAATTTTTACTTGAAGCAGTCAAACTTTTAGTCAATCGATTTTTTTAAATAGTACCTATATTTTTATGTAATTTATAAGTGAACCAATAATTTAACGAAATTTCAGTGTATTTTGTAATGTAATTTATTACGCAACGAATCTATTCTTTCTTAAAACTGATTGTATGACGCTATTTAACTAATTTCATTTATTTATATTTTTGTCCTATTTTGTAAAATGACTTTCTAACGATAATTTCATAAAAATTGTCATTTGTGATAATCGCTTCTTTAATAAAAATGATTGTTTAATAAATAATGAGACTTTTATTTTCAAAAGTAATAATTTTTCGAGATAAACAACTGGTCTAGCAGAGTCCTTGTAACTGGCGAGGTTGCTAATCAAGTATCAATTATTTTTAATATTTTATCAAAAAGATAAGTCCAGGAGAGATAGACCACCGGGAGATATAGACCACCAGAAGAGACGGACCTGTTCTTTATTTTTGATTTATAGGCTTATCGAGTCCATCGGTTGCCAGTTACTTTGGCCACCCTATTCCTTCTCTTCTCTCTTTATTTTTCATAACTTTATGGAAAAAGCACTCTGATGCCACCCATCCCTCTCTCGTTCTCGACAGAGTTTTCAACATTAAGTCTACATAGTTGTCCCTAGTAGGTTCCTTCCTGTTATTAGGGCTAGCTCGGCTCTTTCGCTGTCCCATATGTGTCTGGTTCTCCGCTAAGTTTTCCTCGTTCTCTAGTTGTTGTAAAAATCTTTCTCACCATCCCTTTGTAGAGCTGACTTTTTTATTCAGTAAACATATGTTACTTCATCTACTGTCTCCTTTTTTTTGTTTAGGCATTAAGCCCAATTTTGTTATTTTCCATGTCTGCGGGAATTCTTGTTTACTTAGTATTGCAGTTAAATACTTTAGCAGCTTCTCTGGCTTCATTCTGCCCACCTTCTTGATTTTTCCGACGATATGCCATCCAATCCTAGCGACTTGCCTGTATTCATACCATTTATCGCTTCCTTCAGTTCTTCCTGAGAGAATAGTATTTGATTTTCTTCCTCCTTTGTATCTGTCACTGGGATGGTGATGTCTCTATTCGATACGAATTGTATGGCTTTTACGACTTTGTCGCCTAGGTCCCTGGAGTTGTTATGCGCCACCTAGATCCTTTACAGGTGGTAATGTTTGTGTTCAATTATGTTTACTGATTTAGAGGTAAATAATCTTTTGATGGGTTAAATAGTTTATTAGTATCCTATTGACTAAATGTTTAAATACATATTTTTATGAGTTGAAATTGCTGAAAGTTCTGGTTTATGTTGGTGAAACAGGGTTTTGATGATCTAACCTCAAATGACGTGTAAACACCTAGCATGGGTGATATGTGGTCCATCTCTCTCTTTCAAATGGATGAGATAAACAATACGACATTTGGAAAGATGAAATATGCGTCATTTCCGATTAGAATAATGTTACAATGGCAACGGTTTAATAACCAGCGAAGCCTCGGATATCTTTTGATTGGGAATCAGTGAAGATAAGAATTTTTTTGAGATCTCTTGCGGATAACACTGGAAATTTATTGTTCATTTCAATTAATCCATTGATGACCGTACAAGATGTGGGAGAATGTGAAGAAAGCTTACTAACAAGACCCCCGATTAATTATCCAATAATTCGATTATTCTTGAGATATGCCGTCTGGTGTTTGGGAGAACGTTCGTCATGATGGTTGTTTTTTTTTTTTTTCACATTTCAGGTAGGCAGGGTTGTTACCGTGGTTAAGAATCATCGGAGATTTTAGAGTCAGAAGGATTGTGATGATTTCCGTCGCAGGGATGTCAATAGGTATATGTTTATTGGTAAAGTTTTTGCAACATTACTGCATTATTGACACAATCATACGTGTTACCCAAATCACAGAATACGCAGCTACAGCTTCGTTAAAATTAATTTTAGAATAAGCATGTTCAAGATAAGAAAATATCACATCAGACAAGTCGATTTTTTGGTGCATTCGGAGTATGAATGTCCAGGTTCAGTGCGGAGTATGCAATATTTTAGGATAGGTGGGATTGTGTTGGTACTGGATGATTTGGCATGGTGTATTCTGTCGAAAAAACATATAGGGACATTTAGATTTGAGGTTTCGAAAATTTCGTAATAGCGGTCTCTAAAACCTATGTCTAAAATTAAAATGAAAAGATCCGGAAACGCGACGATATTGCGCTACTTGGCTAGAGATAGCGCAAGTAACCGTTACTGATATTCAGTGAGATTGCGATGGTTGAAGAATTCATTCATCTAGTTATACAGGGTGAGTCGGGAGGAGCGCACCAAACTCTAGGAGTATATTATACACGTGAAAATAATGTAAAAAAACTCATGTTCCTATCCGATTTTCATTTGTTTTCAAGTTATAGCATATTAACAAATAAACAAATTTACACATAAAAATTCTCTTATTCTAAATTTGAATAAGTATCTTGCATTTTGCAACACTAACAATCACATAATTTCGAAATTAAACGGTCAGTTACTGTTCACTGTACACTGACAGTTCATCAAAATGTCCGAATTATCAAATGCCTTTGAGCCTTGAACATATAGATTTGATAATGTTAAAATTCAGAAGTGGAAAGCTAGATGAACATTTTTAATTACGCCATAACTTGAAAACAAATGAAAATCGGATAAGAACATATGAGTTTTTTTACATTATTTTCACGTGTATAATATACTCCTAGAGTTTGGTGCGCTCCTCCCGACTCACCCTGTATATTGACTTTAAAGTCTTTAAATCTGGACAGTATTTAACGTACTGTATAGAATCCATGTGTGATATATTTTTGAATTCAGCTTTCCATGGAAATTCCAAAAAATTTATATATAGGGTGTCTAATTTAAAAAATGTCGCTTACGTCATTACTCACATCTTCACTATTCTGTATATGTCTTTTTGTTCAAAATATGGTAAATTGAAATTAAAAATTGGGAATTTCCTTAAAAAATGAATATTTTGACTAAAAATTAATTTATTCCATACTTTACGAACACAGTGTATATTACGTTTTCTACTTTCGTCACGTTTAATCTATTTCTTTTTTCAACCGATTAAATCGGATGCGGGTCGATTGACGACACCCAATTGACCGATAAACCAATTGACCGACATGACAATTTATTGACAGGACAATTTACTGACAGGACAATTTACTGACAGGACAATTTATCAACAGGCACATTTAGTGGCAGATTAATTCACAAATATTCCAGCAGATTAAAATAATTACCCAAAATAATTTATTAATTAAAAAAAAAAACATGTAATGACTAAGAATTGATAGGTGTTTATATTGTAGGCTATTCCAGGTAGGAGAATTGGGACAGTTAAAAAAAACTTAAATAATTTAGCTAACCCGTGCGCCCAGTGCCGTCGCAGGTTGCTTCGCAAAAAAATTATACATAAAATGAGAAAACTTATGAACAGCTGGGAGTGGGTCAAATGTGGTTTTATGTGAACACCCACAATAGTCCAAGAGCCAGTGACACACATTTCATTAAGTGTTTGATGCACTTTGAAATTTTGTAATTTGAAATAATTTGGATGGAAAAGCAGATATACCTGTGTTGGCTTGACCCACCCCGGGACACCAGGTACTGCGCATAATAGAAAGGGGTCCTAAAATATGACCCAAAAAAAGTGTTTGATTAACGCTCAAATTTTAATAGCGTCTTTATTAAATATAAAAAAAAATAATTCCAAAAAGGCAGACACTTTTTTCGGGGTTTAATTGCCGGCTAACATAAAAATAAGTCTTATCGCTGATCACCCTACAGCTGTATCGGCCGTTCATACAAGGGAAGTGCAACCAACTTGACAAAATTAAATTGACACTAATGACATAAGAAATCGGGTCACATAAAGAGGCTGTTTTTTAGTTTGCTTTATGGTATTTCCTATCTACTTTTATGCCATTTGCATACCTTGTTGTACCCGTAACGTGAAAAAGACTTTTTAGTTTAGGTTATTTTACATTTAAAGATTGAAACATTTTGTCATCGTCAGCTGTCAATTATGTTGTTCGTAGAACACAGGCGTAACCATAGATGGGCATAATGTAACTAGTATTGTATGTTGGTTGTATATTGTATAGAACTTGTATTCGTAGCAGCAGCATTTTGCAATAGACATAAATAAAACCAAATGAAAAAAAAAATGTTTCATAAAGCGGGAGAAACACAAATAGACTATTAACAACAAAAAATAAAATGCACTGCTACGCCTATGTTTTGATATTATCCACAGCTGACGATGACAAAATGTTTCAACCTTTCCTATGTCATTAGTGTCAATTTTATTTTGTCAAGTTGGTTGCACTTCCCTTGTATGAACGGCCGATACAGCTGTAGGGTGATCAGCGATAAGACTTATTTTTAATTGGCCGGCAATTAAACCCCGGAAAAAGTGTCTGCCTTTTTGGAATTAATTTTTTTTTATTTAATTAAGACGCTATTAAAATTTGAGCGTGAATCAAACACTTTTTTGGGTCATATTTTACGACCCCTTTCTATTATGCGCAGTACCTGGTGTCCCGGGGTGGGTCAAGCCAACACAGGTATATCTGCTTTTCCATCCAAATGATTTCAAATTACACAATTTCAAAGTGCATCAAACACTTAATGAAATGTGTGTTACTGGCTCTCCGGCTACAAGGTTTATTCATATATTTTGTTTATTATTTATTTTCAAAAGTCCTCCTACATTGAACTTGAAGTTTTTACGAGTGATGACTTATTTTAAATAATTGAAGAGTAGCCTCGAATATGGACGTTTTCACATCTACCGATACAGACATCGGCACGACACTATACCGGCAGAATATTTTCACATTAGCCGCACGGTGATTGTATGTTATATTTGAAATACAAAAACAAAATTAACAATGGCAGTTATGGGTACATCCAATTATAAAATTTGAGATATTTATAAAGAGCACCCAATTTACTCCAATTAGGAAGATCGTTCATGAACCAGATAAAACAGCCCATACAGCACACATTATTTCAGAAATGTTTCAGAAATATTTCAAACGTTTCAAACACAACATTTCAAGCACAAGTTTCTGAAATATTTTAGTTAAATGTTTCTGAAACATGGTATACATGTTACACAAAAGATTACTAAACGGGTTATGTTGTAAAAGGCCAACAATTAATGAAGAATTTCTGATTTATAAGAAGATGGGATATGTAGTTATTTTATCATGTCCATGTGCCTGTCCAGCCACCAGCTAGATAGAAACAAGCCTATATTCTAAATAATTATAGATTTGAGTTGTTGGTTTTTGATATTCATGCGATGTGAACTTTTTATATGGCAAGCAGAATATGTCTTTAGAAATTAAGGTGAGAACTACATAAATAATGCTTGATTATGTGGATATTCATGTTTTGTTTAAACATCAGTATTGCTTTATTATAGTTAATTTAAAACAATATTAATAAAACTATTGTTAATCAAATAATTTGTATAAATCCTTTTTAATTACCTATAAATTGTTTCAGATTAGTGCATTTAAAGGAATTGGTGGAAATGAAGCAATTTGCCAGCTTTGGGGCTGTACCAGTAAAAATAACATCCAAGTTATTCAACGTTTCCAGAATAAAGTATTAAGGAACATCGTCGATGCATCTGCTACTGCCGTAATACTGATCTTCATAGGGACCTTAAAGTGGAAACTGTTGAAAATACAATACAAAAATTTGCCAGAAGTCACCAACAACGACTGCTCCAACATGGAAAACTTAAGATTATCCAGCTCCTCAACAATGCCAATCTAATGAGAAGACTCAAGAGAACCAGGCCCTTTGAGTTAGTTCAGTGATGTTAGATTAAAACAGTATAGTGCGGTTAAGTGTTATACGTTAACGGTATTGTAACTAAATAATTAGACTCTAAAGTACACTATAAAGTGAGTAGAATAGTAGAACCTTAGTTTATGAAGTTTTTCATCCCTACATAAGTTAGGTAAAAATAAAATTGCTAATTGATCTTAATGATTAGATTATAATAATCGTAAATGTTTCTTAAAAAAACCTAGTTGTTTCAAATTGGTGCATTTAAAGGAATTGGTGGAAATGAAGCAATTCACTTCTATATTTTATGAAATATTCTTTAAAACATAATTATTTGGTTGTTTAAGAATCAATGTTTGAGTTTTGTGTATTTTTAATAAATATGTATATTTTTAAATGTCTTTTTTTAATCTAATAATGTATATAAAACTAGAATACATTTCTGAAATATTATATTTAGAGGACATTTTTACATTTCAGGCATATTTCAGAAATGTTTTGTAATATTTATACAACATGGCAAATGTTTTAATGTAACATTGTTGAAATATTTCCAAAATATGTTTGTGCTGTATGGGAGGATACGTCTTACGCATGTGTACCATATCGTATCTAAATTCAGCCATTTTTATACAAGTTGTTTCTACAAAAACATTTGCCTAGTGTAAATCAAAAATAATAAAAATCGGGACGGTACAACTGGAGTGACTGTTTCTCGCCGAGATATCGCCGCCTGCAAAGACACAGCATCAGCATGTTCATGAGTGTGAAAACAGCCCCATTTATTTACAGAAGATTTTGATTCCACCGGAATCGTTGCCAGCCTCGTTTCGGATAATGTGAAAACGTCCTATTGATTCAGATTACGATGGACTAGGGCACTCCCAATGATGAATATTTTGTTCTTGAAGATGATACCGACGAAATAGAAAACATTGATTTAGACAGTGATATATGAGTAGAATAAGTTCCAAAACAAAATGAACCGACTCGAAATGCACGTTTCAGACAAAGCCCGTAGAAGTAGATGGGCACTGTTACTCATGTCAAGTTGGACTTTATCTTACGAAAAATAAAAAAAAAAATCATGCAAAATGAACAACTTTGAAAATTGCACAGTCACGTTTAATTCCTTGTGGTTCCACTATGAAAAAATGGGACCCGACAAAATTCATGTTTATATAGAAATGTATCCTACTCTAAATATTATAATTTTGGCCACAAGGATTTAAACGTAATTTAAATGAATAGGGTTTTAAATCAACTAATAATTATATTCAAAATATCAATTTAATAATCAAAGTATAAAAATATAAAACACATTAAAACATTTAAACTGCCTGCAGCCAACTATCACAAATTCTTAAGAAAAATATTATGGACGGAGATTTTCCTTGTTTTTCTTCAATTTAACCTGAAAGTGTAAAAAGAAGTAGTATATAGTTTGAAGGAAATTTTAATATCAAACAGACTGGTGTTACATTTCAAAAACTTGATCAAAAAAGAAAAATAATAATCTAAAATTTTCAATCAAATTACAGCAATTACCATAAACTCATTAATTAATAACATATAAATTACATAAAATTTTCCAAAAATGGATATACGGGGTTGCACTAGATGAGCCCGTAAAATATTAAAGATGTCGGAATTAAAAAAGATTGAACACTAAAAAGTTCTTATTCCATAGAGTAACTTTCAAAAAAAAAATTGGACATTAAAATGTTTTGTCATTTTCATACAGTGTTGCCAATAGTTTCAGTTCAGTTAATAACAAGATAAAATACGTGAATATTATCAATGTTGACAAATCCTTTATAGATTTATGAAAAAATAATAAAACAAGGAAAATATTTATAAATGAATTAAACTGTCTTTATTTTTAAAATAATTATCAAAAATTGAGTTGAAAGTTAGTAAGTAAAATCGATTCTAAATTTAAAAATGACCTATGCCAATGAAAAAACTTTATTTAAAAAAAAAATATATATTTGCTTCATTTATTTCCGCAACATATAGGTTTTCTGTTTGCAATAGATTCTTTGGCAATAGCGATACCTGCAAAAGTATATGTATTCTTAGTTTTTCAAAATTGCAAAGTGATCAAACTAGATAATGACCATTTATTTTTGATTTAAAAATCTCACCTACGGTACAATGATGAAAATAAGAGAAAATAATATAATTACCTATTCTGTACCTTTAATTAGGTGCGCACGAATTTCGAATCGTCCGAAGGTATAATTAATGTAAAAACTGTTTTTCATATAAAGTTGATTGCTCCAATAAAAAATGATTGGTATAATCTATAAAAGCCATAATAATAGAGCGAACGAAGCGAGCGCCTCCGAACGACATTTTGAAGTTTGTAAGTAAAAAATGTTCTTCATATGAAGTTGATGGGCTAAAATAATAATAAGCAACATGGGCTCCCATAACTACAAAACAAATTTATTTGAATACAAACAAGCATCAATTAATCGTTGCCATTTGAAAAATAAAACTCTTGCTTCACAATGATGATGGTGGGTGAAGTTTTCCGGGTTTTCCTCACCTGTAAGTCAAATGGCACCATCAATCATCATCTTTAAGTCGCCCCGGAGCGCCACGGCAAATAATAATAATAGCCGTCCCTTCCCCTACACAAGTCGTTCAGTCGACTTCAGGGGTTGAAATTCACTCGTAAGGGGATGAATTAGGGAGAGTATTATTATTATTACAATCATTGTGTTTAAGTCGATGGGATTTATATTTTTTCCTTAGAAAAAAAGTTTAAAATTATTTTTATTGAAGAAATATTAAACAACTTGGCAACCGTGTACTAATGTCAAATTAAGCTGAAATATACAACTAGACAACTGGAAAATTCAGGTTTCCGACAACAAATTTTGTTAATTAAATGCTACTCAAAATGTCTACAAGTTTTTGGAAATATATAAAAATTTCGTATTTCTTAAAGTTTTACCATAAATAAGCAATGTTATTATGGCAAGTGACCTATAAAACAATTTTTTCCAAAAATTGTGGGTTTTCTGCAATTTTTCTTTTTGCAAACTTACTACATAAAAATGAGTACTTTTTAGTGTACCAAAAATTTTTTCAAAACCCCGACGTCAATATTTATAATACGAAGCCGACTAAAGTTATTCGTACCTCGCAAAATAGAAAATGAATTGAGATAAATGAAATATACTCGATACATAAAGTAATAATATTACTTAAATGCCGAACAAGGAAAAAAATTAGGTGAATCCCACAAATCTTAGTCAAATAGGTATTAAATTCAAACTCGGAATGAAATATAATAAAGCTGTAAATTTGTATAAATCTTTGTTTTGACACTTTATAAGATGGCTTCGTAGAATCTTCAAGTCAAAATATTCAAGGTCAAAGGACGCAAAAAATTAATTAAATTTGGATTTATTTGAAAAGTTGTAGAGCAAAAAATTCTCTATAACTTTTATTAGCAAAAAACAATTGGCCATTAATTTTCAAAGTTAACTCAATTCAGGCATTTAGTCTTCAATTACGGAGACACAATTGTTAATTTTTTTGTTGACGTGATTGACTACATCCTATCAAAAGAACTAGCAGTTCAATATCTTCTCCTATAATGTCAATATTTTGATGTTGATTCTGCAATAGCTGTTTCGACGATAAGAACATCAGCGCCATCTCAGATTTATTTTGTAGTGATGTTAACAGTTTTTAAGTTCTCAATAAGCATGTTAAGCTATTCCATTTTAATATTTTATTATAAATAAAAACTAGCGGTCCGATTCGTCTTCTCACAGTGATATCTTCTAAAGTATTTATTTGAATGATGTAGTGTAAAAGACAATTTTAATCTATATTAAATGCACAAAGTAACCGACAAATTTATATGAATAAGGATTAATAATGAATTGAAAAAAATAGCTTCAAAAATAACCTAAATAGACCGTCATATAGTGACATGTTTAGGTGACCCATTTTCGCATACAAGCCTCGAAGAGTGTTGAAAAGTACATCCATGAGTTACAGAAATTAAAGGTATCTGTTACCCATATTTTCATTTTCACTAAGTGATTAACTAGGCTTCGGAAAACCAAAGGATTTAATGTTGCAAGAGGCTAAAGGATTGAAATAAGGGTGTACTCTTGTAAGGAAAAATCGAGATTTTAACCGATTTTTCCACACAAGCCCATCGAATATATGGAAACGTATATTGTCACTAGTCCGAAAAATATATTGTCTTAAATGACTCGAATGGATAAGTGTATTTTGGGGTCGGTAAATATTTCTGTTAAGGAAAATCGAATTTTCCATGTGTTATCTCCAAGAGCCACTCGTAAATTTCCTTTTATTCTACTCAACATCGATGTACTTATCAATCCTCTTCGAGGCTTGTATGCGAAAATGGGGCACCTAAATCTGTCACTGTCTGACAGTCTATAATCTGTAATAGATAAAAATAGTTATTGTGAATGTACCTTAGGAGATAGGACATATGCTGTTGCGGATTCTCTGTGAGCTTTTTTAATACCTACAATTTTCTATAGATTGCTTTAATGTATCTCTTAAGATTTGACCAGTTTTTTTGACAAAACACCTTCCTTGTTTATAGCTCTTTCTATTAGTGAAAACTGTACCGTTGCGTGGTTTAGAAGTGGAGAACAGAGATTAAGTAAATGATTTATCTACTGAAATTACAAACGAGTGTGGTGTACCGCAAGGTAGCGTGTTAGGTCTCCTACTTTTTTTTATTGTATATGGATGATATCTCATTTATTACTGATAGGTGCAACATTCATCTGTTTGCAGATAATACTTTAATCTATTATGCATCAAATGATCTTATCGATATAATATACTTAAATATGACCTAATGTACCTAAAGTTATTTAATAGTTATAAGTTACAATGAGTTACAATAATAAATAAGTTACAATAATGGAAAACAATTATATAATAACAAGCACCTAGGTGAGAACACCTGTATGTGCTGACAAAAATTAAAATTTTATTTTAATTATATTTAATGAATTATAAAGGAAATGAAAAAAACAACTTTTTTTTTTAAATAAAAAATAAAACTTGAACAATTCATGCAAGAAACAGAAAAAAAATCCATGTATTAAATCCGTTATTCTTGGAATATTCTGATAAACTTTGCATTATGCTTTAATGCACATGTTCGATGCAGTTCTAGTGTTAGGTCTATGTTCTAAAGGGTTTTCTAAAAATTCATTTTTTTGTATATATATAACAACACACTGCGTGAATATATAAACATCTAACATTGATAATTTTTTCATTATATAAAGTTATGGTGGGACACAATCTATCTCTTTTATATATTAACTTCAAGATTTTGTTTTGAATAACATTTAACTGATTTAATGTAGTTCCATACAGGCCTCCCCATACTAAGATTCCATACCGTAGTATAGATTCTACTAGACTGTAGTATAATGTTATTAGTAGATCCTGGTTGAGAAATTGTTTTAGAAGATAACATTTATAAATCAGAAATCTAAGTTTTTTTGCTATATATATATATATATATATATATATATATATATATATATATATATATATATATTATATGGCAGTCCCATTTTAAGTGCTGGTCTATAATTATACCTAAATATTTGGATGTTTCTGTTTCCTGTATGTCTAAATTTTGACATGTTAAGCTTCTAAATTGAGGTCAATCAGCCACTGTTTTTGAAAAAGCAATGTAGTTTGTTTTGTTAACAGTCAAAGACAATTTAAAAACATCCAGTCAATTTTTGACATGTCCGATTCCAGCTATAGCTCGTGTCTTGACGGCTTCCCAATCTTAATCACTGAAGACTAGCACTGTATCATTAGCATATGATACAACTTTACCTTGAATATCAATCTGAGTTAAGCTCTTAATGTATAAATTAAATAGTATAGGTCCCAGAACAGTCCCTTGAGGCACTCCGATTTGTATATTTTCAGGGTTACTCACATTGTCTCTGACCTTTACCTTCTGTTGTCTGGGTGTCAAATAATTTTAAAAAACCTTCAACACGATGCCCCTCACTCCATTCTGTTTAAGAACATTTAAGAGCTTCTGATATGGCATCGTGTCAAATGCTTTTGTTAGATCTAGAAATATAGCTATACACTTGTTACCAGTATTCATTTCATCAGTAACATATGAAATCGATTCATGCATAGCATCTCCTGAGTTAAGACCCTCAGTAAAGCCATATTGGTGCTTGGGAAGTAAGTCATTAGTTTTTAAAAAATCTGTCAGTCTATCTTTCACACATTTCTCAAATATTTTGGCCACATTACTATTTAAATTAATAGGCCTATAGTTAGTTATTAATTTTGGATTACCAGCTTTATAAATAGGTGTTATAATTGAAGTTTTAAATTGTTTAGGTACGATTCCTGTATTAAAAATACAATTAATTATATGCATTAAAGATTCCAGTAAATACGGATGTAGTAGTTTCAGATGTTTTACTGTTATACAATCAAATCCCGGGCACTATTGTTTTTTAAACTATTTATGTGTTTTATAATATCGTTTTCGCATATCGGTTTCAGAAAAATTGATTTTTCAGTGACACAGGAAAATCCACATTACATTCAGGGATATTTGTGAATATATTAGTGCCAATAGTCGAAAAGTAGTTATTGCAGTAATTCGCTATTTCATTATCATTTTCAAATTCCTCATTATGTTGGTTAAAAATCTGTAAATTGGTTTTTTTTTTTTTATGATTTTCATTAGTTGCTTCAGAGATTAATTGATAAGTTTTTTCAGTTCATTTTTGTTTTGGTTTATTTTATTGTTATGATAGTCATTTTTAGTTTTTGATATTAATTTGTTTAAATTATTTCTAAATGTTTTATAGTGAGATTGTTAATAGTATAGTTTTTTTGTAGATCTTTTTTAAGTTTATCCCTAGTTTTAATAGAATTAAACCATTTGTTATCCATGGCTTTATTTTTTTATGGATTTTAATTTTAATATTTTGAGTGGTTTGACATGTTTCAATGATATTAAGATACGTGTCATAAAAAAGTTGTGTTGCAACTTCTGGATTATTTTCATTGCAAACACTTTCCCAGTTTACAGTTTCGAATTTTTGTTTTAATTTATCAGTATCGATTTTAGTTATAGTTTTATATGTATTGTAGGAACTTGTGTAGTTTTTGGCCGATTGTGAGATATTTATCATAATAGGACCATGATCAGTCATATCATAGCTGATTACATAAGAGTTCACCGATAGATTTTCAGTCTTAATATTGTTTTTTAAGAATATATGATCCAAGCATGTTTTACTTTGTGGCCTCGTAATAGTGTTTATGTAAGACATGAAACCATGGGAGTAAAAAGTTGCTTGATAATCAGTAGTTACTTGATTGGTTACATTTAGGAGATCAATATTAATGTCCCCTATGAATATTTCAATATTTCTATTTAGGTGATTTGGTATGAAATTTTCTAAATCCCTTATAAATGCTTGTGCAGAGGTTTGAGGAGACCTGTATACACCTGTAATGCCAATGGTCCGATGATTGACTTTATAGATTTATTTTAGTGACACAAATATCAGAATATGCCAGTTTAACTATATTTAATTCTGCATTTAGATTTAACCTGACCAAAATTACACCATCATTTCTGTTAATGTTACCATTGTCATAGTGGGTGATGAAGCCATCTAGGTTAAATTGAGAAATAGAGTCTAATTGGAAACATTCAGTCAAAACTATTATATCACAATAATTAATTTTATAACTTTCTAGAAATACTAACAACTCATCAAAATTCTTTTTCCTCCCAATATTGAAATGTAAGACATTTAGAAGTTTTTCATTTAAATTAATTTTATTTGTTTTTTAGAAGCATCAACGACTTCATTAATCGAATCAATTTGAATAGAATTTAATAGATTATTTTCTTGATTAATAATCATGAACTATTTGAATGTGTGTACAAATATTAGTTACGTTATGTTATTGATCTGTATACTCGGTTTTATTTTGCAATACCATTTGATGATATTTCAAAGAGGGACAAATCAAATCCAATGCAGAATGGTTGTAGTCGTACTCAGTTTTATATTTTTCGTTAGAAGTTTTACAGTTCTTACAGTGTATTTTATTCTTTGGACATAAGCTAGCTTCATGTTATTCACTACAGATGTGGCACACGATTGCATTCTTAAAGTTTTCTTTTTTATGGTAGAAACCTTGACATTTAAAACATCTGGGTATCTCCAAATCTTCATAAACCGGAAGTCTTTCCCATCCTATACATATTTTTTTCTTTTGTATCAATTGTTTAAATGCAGTTCCTGAATATTCATAGTATACAGTATTGAAGCCTTTTTTCGTTTTTCTGATATATGTGGTTTTTATTTCACCTGTTATGTCATTCTGTTTCACAATGGACTTGTCCATTTCTTCCTTGGTCATATTCTCCGTAAAATTGCAGATTTTCATTCTGGGTCTTCTCATTTTTGTCAGATCTACATCATATGAATCTTTTAATTTATCTTGAACAGCTTTTTCCAGAATTTCAACTTCTTTTTTTGTTTGACAGGAAAGTATAACGGAACCATTCTTTCCCATCTTTAATTGTTTCTCTCCAACTTTTAAGTCAATTAGGTTAATATTTGTTTCTAAATATGTTTTTGTTTTGTTTCCACTCTATGGTATTTTCGGTTTAATAATAATTTTTGGAGGGTTAGGTTTTCGTTCATTGTCTTCTTTTTGTAACTTCGCCATATCAGCATAAGAAATGGTTGGTACAATATTTATCTCTTTTTCTTCAAATTCTTTAATTTTCTCTTGAAGCATTTTTATTATTTCATTTTTACTATTTATTATTTCATCTTTACTTCTTATTATTTCATCCTTATCTTCATTAGAGTCTTCTTTAGAAAATCAATCAGTTCATAATTCCTACATTTTGCACAATGAAATTTCAGAATTCTAGTGCGTAGTGGTATACACCTAATTTCTGTGGTTGATAATTCAGAACATTGGTTGCAGTATAATCTTCTGCATTCATCACATGTAGAGCATGGAAATTTTTGTTCTTTTGTAGGCTGCTGAATAATCTCACACTGTGAGCATTTCATTGCCATTTTTCTTATTAAATCATTTTCTAATTTTATAAACTAAATGTGGGTACGCCATTGGATATTCTATTTGTATGATTGCTCAGTAGAAAGTATTGGTGTTTATTTTATTTCACCTAAACTTTTTTGTCATCTGATATGGTTTGGTACTTTTTGCGTTTTTTGTTTCCTTGGTAGATTTTATTTGGGTGAAATTGCAGAGATAATGCATTAATCTATGCAACTGTGACTCACCTAAACAGTTTATTTACTACACTATAGTACTATCACATTTTATTTAATTCACTAGTTGTTTTTTTAACATTATATAGTTTATATCGGTAGAAATATAGATTTATTTGCGCAGTGAAACGAACACGTCTTCTCACCTTGAATGATCGAATTCAGTATTAAGTGAATGTCTCATTTAGTAACAGTAAATAATTGAAATTTCTTAATAAAAATATTTTTAGTATACAATAAAATATAAATCATATTATTTGTTGAATTCCACAGTTGACTTTACATTATGATAAGTACAACCACCCACTCTTCGCGATCTAACTCGAACGATCAAATGTATAAAATGTTGTTTGAAACAAAAGTTTTAGAGAATTTTCTGCTTTACAACTTTTCAAATAAATCCAAATATCATTTACAACATAGAAAACGAGATATTTACAAAAAAATTACGATCTTTAGCCTTGAATGTCTTGACTCGCATACTCGAGATTCTATGAGACTTTTGAACGAACTTATAATAATAAAACAAAAATTTACAACTTATTATCTTTCATTCCGAGGTTGAACTAAAACTGGAAACAACAGAAAAACGACTCTTTGAAGAAACTTTATTTTGATAATTATGTACTGTAATATTCTAAGTAATTACTTACTGATTTATCAGCAACTTTAAAATTAACTTGTTTCTCTTCGTTAGACTCAACTTTAGCATTCCGATTAGATAAGATGGGGCTTTTCTTATTGTAATAAGAGGATTGTAATAAATTTTGCCTTATCATTGGAAGCACGGACATTATTCCCGTTTCTTTGCCAAGGGAATTGCTACGTTTTCTCCCAAGGAGATTTTCTGCCATCCCTTCGCTAATAGTGTTTCTTCTGACTGGTTTGGGTTGTGTTTGGGTCCTGCTATGGAGCGGTTCCTTTGTTAAGCTGAAAGATGAAATCTAGTTACTACAGCCGTATGCATAGTCAATCGCCAGCGACTCGCCAGCGATTCGCTGGCGATCCGCCGGCGAAAGCCCAAAAAGCTGGCGGCTCGCCGGAGATTGTCACCGGAATATCATTTCACGAAAGTTTTCATGTTCTTTTATAGGGAAAAATTTGATATTCGTTCATTATTTTTTGAGTTTTAAGAAATGAATCATGAATAAAATGCGAGAGATACCGGTGATATTCCCTATAAAAGAACATGAAAACTTTCGTGAAATGACATTCCGGTGACAATCTCCGGCGAGCCGCCAGCTTTTTGGGCTTTCGCCGGCGGATCGCCAGCGAATCGCTGGCGAGTCGCTGGCGATCGACTATGCATACGGCTGTTAAAATTACGGAATGACAAAAAGGTGTTCAACAATAGTACATTCCAACAGAGTAATATACTGTACTTTCTCCACGGCCACAGACACAGTAGGAATTGAATATAGTAAAATTAAACTTTGAACAAAATGAAACATTTAATCTAACTTATGTTAGGCAAGTGTTTTTTAAATTATATGCATAATTTGTAAGTTCAGGAGGAATATTATCAAATAAATTCCATATAAGAATCATTATATTCATCAATTTTTGAATTTAAGATTGACTTAACAAACGGCACTTATCTTTATTCAGGCAAATTCAAACTAAATAATAATCCGTCGCGTAGAATTGTCAGTCATTAAATTCATGACTATCTAGTATCTACGATGCAGGCGTGATATTCACAGCCATTGGCCAGTAGCTATTACATAATGAACATTTTGTCTTTAGAGTTAGAATGAAATACATGTAAAATACATAGGATGCAAGTGTTTCAGATTTTTTTAAATCTCAAGAGCATGAATGTAAGTGGTTTCGGAAGAACTACATTCAGTAGTGGCCGTGGAGAAAATATTTTTTAAATTTTCAACTCGCGATTAAGTCCTAAAGATCCAACAAATCACGTTTTATCATAATTACAATATTGGCCTTGGTAAAACCATGTATAGAAAAAAAAAACTAAACAAAACTATTAAATGTTTTAGCACAGAATAGGTAACATCCAGAAGCTTAACTCACAGTGGAAAAGGAAAGTCGGATTTCTATCGCTGTGTTTGGAGTAGAAATCATCAGTCTTGTCTAGATCACATGCGTATCAGACAATTAATATTTGCGCTGTGTATAAATTTTAGTAGTTACTTTGATTTTTAGCGTTTTGATGTGTTTAATATAGTTGTTATATTTTTTATTTGTACATTTTAAAGTTTGTTTTATAGCCCTTAACTCGACATCACGGTATCTCATACCGCTACATAATATTCAAATATAACTATTATCCCCCATCCCTTGTGGCCTTGGGGGTCTATCTATCTTCGAGTTGTATGTTGTTGCAATAGCCAGTAAACTGCCATAACATTTAGTTGCATTATATGCCTACAAGAGAAAGATTTTTGAAAAGTGCGCGGTCTGTGATACCGATCGTGTCTTATAACGGGATTTTTTTGGCTGAAGTTTATGTAACGTGTGAACATTTAGAACTTTTGAGAGAAATTTTTATAATACTGTTTGTTTTTCTTTCGTCGGTAAGTTAAGAAGCTACTTTTAGTATGTATATAATATTTAAAATTGTTTTAATTCCAGAATATGGCGTCTACGTCCAAAGGTATTTGTTATTTTGATAAAAATTATGAACAAACAGTTGAAAAATGGTTCAATGAGAACTCTGATAATGAAGAGCAAGACAGTTCGGATGCGGAGGACTCTGGTGATGAATATATTCCGAAAAAACCTATTATAGAGGAGGAGAAGGAGAGTTATAATTCTGAGCTAGAATTCTTTGAGGATGAAGATATACATTGCGAAGAGCACGTAGATGAAAATATGCAAGATTGTGAGCTTTTTAAAACAATGAAATTGGAAGGCTGCTTTAAATTACTTATGACTAACCATCTGTACAATGAATTGAAATTCGTCATGTTATGGGTAGTCCAGCCACCAGTTCATCTTCAGCAGCAGAAAATCTTGATCGACGTTCTTTGCCAGCCATATTCAACTAAAAAACAAATTACTTCTGCACGGCATTGTGTGATTGACTGCTCTCGAGGCACAGCCGATTTAAACCATACAAGAGCAGTGTTGGCCGTGTTTCGCCTGCGTTGTACGCAATGCTATATATGCAGCTAGGAAAACGTAGCTTAAGAATGACTTCCATGACGAACATGAAAATTGGACTGAACAAAAATGGCCACGAGTATTATTCTCAGACAAGTCTCGTTTTCGATTGCGATCCTGACGTATTCAAGTCTACAGAAGGCGGTGAAAGATTCCGCGAATTCAAGGTACAAGAGACTCGCAATTTTAGAAGGGGAGGCATTAGTTAAATGGAAGAACTGCACTGTTTTACTTCATCGTTGGAATTTGACAGGATATCGATATATTATAGATATTTACGAGGATGGGATGAAAAGTTTCCGGCCTAACCTATAGTAGGCCCGATTTGCTTTCATGTTCCAACGTGTTTGTGTAGCCTTGCTTGTCGTCAGTATACGCTCGAAGTTTAAAGTGAATGCGTCAAGTAGTTTGTGTCCTGGATATTTTAAAAGCTTATAAAGTGCGTCACTTTTAAAAGATGGAAAAAACGAGATAAGAGCGGTGATAAAATAATACTTCCATATCAAAGGATTATCGCCGACGAAAATAAAAGCTGAACTAGATGCTACACTAGGGGAATCTGCTCCTTCATTTACCACAGTTAAAACCCGGGTAGCGGACTTTAAACGTGGTCGTACTAGCACTGATGAAGCTCCGCGTTCTGGCAGGCCAAAAACGGCAACTTCTGGTGCAAACCGTTCACAAACTAATTCTAAAAGATCGCAGATTAAAATTGGAAGAGGTAGCTGAGGCTGTAGGCATATCAAAAGAGCGAGTTCACTATATTTTGTGTGAAGTTTTAGGTATGAGAAAGCTATCCGCCCGATGGGTGCCACGTTTGCTCACGTCAGATCAGAAGCTCACGCGGCTAACCATTTCAGAGGAGAAATTGGCACTGTTTAGACGTGATCCAGGGGACTTTTTGCGTATATTTATTACGGTTGATGAAACATGGGTTTATCATTATACCCCTGAAACTAATCAACAGTCCAAACAGTGGACGGCAAAGGACGAACCAGTTCCAAAGAAGGCAAAGGCAGTACCGTTTGCTGGAAAGGTCATGGCAACGGTCTTTTGGGATGCTAAAGGGATACTCCTAATAGATTATCTCGAAAAGGGAAGAACAATAAATTCCGAGTACTACAGCGACTTACTGGACCAGCTTAAGCAGAATATAAGCGAAAAACGCCCTGGTTTGGCAAAAAAGAAAATTCTGTTTCATCAGAACAATGCACCTTGCCACAAGTCCTTTCTTGTAATGGCTAAAGTTCATCAGCTAGGCTTTGAACTGTTAAACCATCCTTTTATTTGTTTCCAAACCTAAAAAAATTTCTTGCTGGCAAAAAATATTCCACGGATTTAGAAGTAATTGCCGCCACAAACTCCTATTTTGACGAGTTGGATAAATCAGACTACAGTGACGGTATTAAATCGCTTGAACATCGTTGGGTCAAATGTATTACCCTACAAGGGGACTATGTAGAAAAATAAATTCTTATTCAGTCCCTATTGTGTTGCGTTCTATGTTAGGTCGGAAACTTTTCATCCCATCCTCTTACAACACGATGTCACAGCTTATTCAAATATTATCAGCGTCGTATCTAGGCATTAAATGGACAGTTTGCGCATCGGATGTCGCACATTTGGCTCGGCAGTCTAGATTCATTCGGGACTAGTTGTTATTTTTTCTATGGTCAGGACCATGATTTCCGAGAGATGTGAATAGGTTCACAAGTCAAAAAATACAATGTCACACGTAGTCGTTATCGTTAAATCTGCTGATTAATATTAAAATTGAAGTTGTAATTTTTTTAAATTATTTTCGTGACGTTTATGTCTATTATAATGATTTAATAATAAAGAATGCGATCAATACGAGTAAGAGACTTATTTTTAAAATATTTGGAACTACAAAAATTTATGAAATCTTTATAGATATGCGTAAAATTTCCCCTTTTTACGCCAGAATAAAAATTTACTATACATGAACAGCTAGAAAAAGTAAATGAATAATATGGAAAAATTAATAATTAAATATCTGTTGTTTGTTATTTTGTATTGAATAAAAAAATTTAATATTATAATCTTTGTGTATATTTTTAATCATACCTTCCTTCATATCCAGGCTCCAGGGGGCCATAAAGGTCTTCTAGTGTGCTTATAATTTTTGGGGTTGACGCGCAAAAAAAGGTCGTCGCTTGTTGAATCCCTAATAAAGTGTCCAGCTTTAAAAAACAATTATTAGTATGGCCGCCCTTGCATCATGCTACCTTCCAATACAAACACGATAATTGCAAATTGCATTAACAGAACCTCTTTTTTTCCTGCGAAATGTGAATGACCACCTAAAGCCATTTGACTTTCGAAGTACAAACGATGCAGCCCAAAGATGAGTAAGATGTGCTAATGTATTGACTTACGTCAAAAATTGCCACGAAAATTTTATTTTACAACAGGATAATGTCTGTCCACGTGACGTTAGAGGAATAAGTTATGGATTGGCCAGCCAACAGTCCGGTCTTAACTCCCATAGAACTGTGGGATTACTTAGGAAGATGCATGAGACCAAGAGAAATGCCAAATTATCTATAAAAACAGTTCATCTCACCTACCTGTAACAGGAAGGGACCCTTGCGTGGGTTACGAAGATCAAAAAGAAAAAGACGTCAATTCACAATTTGTTTATTATAGGAGACTAGGAATATTGTATTTAAATAAGAAATAAAATTGCATTATATACCTCTGTTATCAGTGGCGGCTCGTCGTAATTTAACAAGGGTGTTCACTTTTTTCCAATAATTTTATTATTTGTGAGTTCGGTTCAA